TTATGGAGATTTAATCTTCTGAAAAGCATGGCCAGACAAACAACCCATAAGTTGAACCATATGAGTCAGAGGACGATTAATGGATGCTCTGAACTTTTAGCTATATGTCCAATTCCAAGCTTTATTTAAATAAGGTCTTCAGCCTAATTCAGCCTATGAAAGAGTATTTGCATATATATGAGTGCTATATGTAAGATAGGAGAGTATGTTTCTTTGGGAGTGCCAATTTGCATAGCTATTGTGGACTTTTGCAAATGAGTTTTACCTGCAGACACTGGTCTTAATCTCAAGTGTTTCAGAATGAGACAAAAAAAAATTATCCTATGTGCCTGTGTGTGCATATCTGGTTTTACAGCACAGAGATGGGATACATAGGGGAAAGTTACAGTAATCCATGTAGTGCAAAAGACAAGTTAAAATAACTGAGTGCAGAATTGAATTCCTGAAACATGCATTCGACAGTGATCCATTTTCAACCCAAAATAGAAAGTTTTTCAATTTGCTCTTATTTTTTGTAGAAGATGGTTCATTTCAATCTGGTTAAAGAGGTGAAGTACTTCAGAAAAACTCTTTGTATTAAATACATAACCGTTCAAGTTAACTGCCTTTCTGCCAGGCTAATACTTTACCTGCAATTATAAGGGCTAATAAACCTAAGCCTTACTCATTTTAATTTCTATAATGCTTTCATTACATTACACTCCCTTGAATGGACACGTTCATACATGTCTTTAGGTCTATTTGCACAACACAGTCACATCAAAGCAGCCTGTCTGCATGCAGTCGTAGCACTAATTGAATGAACATAGTTGTTAATTAACAGTTAAAACAATGGCACATCCTAAGGCCCACATCTATCACAGTAACTGTTGACCAGACCCCAATTCAGTTTCAATGAGCAGGGAAGGCTACACCACAGCAGGCCACACATGTAATGAACAAGATGGTGCGTACTTGTATGCACGCTGTCCCTCTGTCAGCACAAAGCACACTGCCCCATTCATATGCGCATTCCTGTCTCTCCACTCCAGCAGCCCAGCAGGTTCCTCCTCTGTCCTCTGCGCTCAGGACAGGGCTCTGACGCACTCACAAAAGGGGTCTTCAATCTGTCCCCCACAAGACAACAGGCAGCAGCATAAAGACCCGGAAAGCCACAGCGACATGTCCAAGAATGGGCCGGGGGTGGTGTCCAGGGGGAGAACCAGGGGACATAGTGCAAAAAGAGGCCAATGTGATGGATGGATGAAAGCTATACAGATATGTGTGTCTACTTTAACAATGCATCCTCTGCTTCCTATTCCGGTTTGATTGTTGACTAGAGTGGACAGTGGCGGCAAGTCCTCAAATCTGGTAGAAATAATAATTAATTTGAGAAAAGAATTATGGATGAAAATGGGTCTGCATGGCTAACTCTGGCACATTTACATGCTGTACTAGCACATGTTCATTAATGTGCACTGTCCCATATTTAATAAATGAACATAAAAACATTAAAATGTACTGAATGACTGTTAGGTTTATCAGCATTTTTCTAGCTAATATAGCTAATAAGTGTTGGGCAGTAAACATATGACATGTTCTAATTCTGCTTACTCTGCCTAATAATTGACATTCTGGTGTGTAAATATTCTTGTACAATACACTTGTCAGATATGTTACAAGAATGTACATCTCTTATCCTGTACACAAGGCATCAGTAGCAATAACTAACACTAACATTTTTGATGGGGATCTCTACCTTCTTTTATATTACTGTGCCTAGCCAAAAAATACCTTGAAAATATGAATTTATAACTGTGGCCTGAGTCAATTCTCCACAGATCTTACCTCAAATTTGGCATAGTGACTTCACCTGCTTGTCTCCGTGGAGAGACAGTAGATTCATTTAAAGCTGTGCTGTGGCCAAAATTTTAAACTACAGATGCCTGACCCTCTACCCAAAAATTTACATAGTGTACATTTAATGTTAATCTCTCTCTGTCTCTGTGTCTCTCTCTCTCTCTCTCTCTCTCTCTCCCTCTCCCTCTCCCTCTCGCTCCCTTCCTACCCCAGACAAAAGACAAACATAAAGGCCACATGTCAGGGAGCAGGGTGGGGGGGCAGAGCATGTGGGGCCTAGTGCAAAACCAGGGCAATGCTGATAGATGGATGAGGGCTCTTCCGTGTCCTGATTGGTGGGTATTTGTAGTTTGCCCAGGAACAATGGAATGCAAACATGAAAAGCAAGCACCATAATACAGCACTTTGGGGTGATGAAGAAGCTGCTAGGGAAATGACCATGCAAAGCATACCCGGGCACATATTGTTCATTCTGGGCACTGCATGACTGTCTATTTGCTCAGATGCTGATGTGTGGCTCAGTGCAGCCTTCGGTTTTCTTTTGCATATGGCTTTAACAGTGTCCGGCACATTTCCTTAGTATGAAAGCAAGGTGAGGAGTGATGCCCCACCTTGTCTTAAACAGACCGTGAGCTACAGGGCTTTGTGCACTGCATCTGAACTCAGACAAATTTAAAGTCACTTTGTGCAACATAAAATTTAATAATCTTCCTCGAACTATTCCCTCGTATTTTACATTTCCAAGAAAAGTGGCACCTCTGTGGCATTTTAGTGTAGGTTCCATTACTCTACTATTCCTGCCCCGGAGTAGACAATATTTGTATTGTTGGAGTTGTACAACTTTTGCATACAAATGTATGCAGTCTCTAAAATCTACAAATTTTTCAATTCAACAGATAAGACACATATTTTCTATATGGCCATTTTAAGTAAAATGATAAATGTTTTATTTTCAAACCATAGTGGCATAGAAAATGTTTTTACATTTGATATGGGAAGTATAGGTCTAAGTTCGTGGTAATATCCATCTCTTTCTTCAGTGGCTAGTAGCTACAAGCTACTGTAGCATGCACATTTTACACTGGGTAATTATTAACCATTAAACATGCTCCTATATTAATCTTCATTTGTTAGCTTTTTTTACAAGGTGCATTTTGAATATGTCTTTTGATAAACAAATGTGACACAAGCAAAGACTTTAATGACGTCTGCAAATCTTTCTTATAAAGCTCAACTCTGCACCATTTATAGACCCTGCTCCTTTTTCAAAGCCTGTGTGATGTATGTTTTGAAGTTGCAGTTGTAAGATGTGGCTGAGGGTGGGGGGTGCACACAGTTAACTCTCACTATTATAAACACACTGGGCTGTTTTCTGGTATGTAGTGGTTAATATCACATCTGGGACAGCGTCTGTGCCACTCTTTGAAGTCAGGAGTCAGACTATTTGTTATTGTGATTGACTGAAGTTTCAACCAAGCAGTGACAAGACAAGCATTTTTGATCTTATATTATATATTACCAAAACATGTGTGATAATATGATTGTATATTTGCTTTGGTCTGATCTGGTCCCAACCTGGAAGAGAAACAGGTCGAGTGATAATTAAGTTACTGTAATGCCGAATGCTATTTTCTTTAGTCCAGGCTAAAATAAACCAAATACCAAAAAGAAATGTTACCTCTATCGGTGATCACTGAAAGCAATAACCTTACTGCTTCTGAGTATGGACTAAATGTAAAGCCCCTCTAGTATCTTGAAAGGAACCAGATAAATCCGCAGCATTATTCTAAATAATAAAGTGCGCTTATACTAAGGAAGCATTATTGCCACAGACAGGTGTGATGAAAGAAGGGCAGATGCCCTGGCCCGGGTCACAAATTAGTTTCTTTGTCTCACCCCAGTCTTTAATCTCACCATGAAGCTGTGATTCATATGTCCAGTCATCAATCATCTTTCACTTATGACAGAAATCAAAGCTCACATGAACTCCTCATGTGAAAAACGTGTTTGATCCACAGAGCCTTCGAAGGCTGAACCGACAGATACATTTGAATGTCTGAGTCACTTTGAAATGCTGCCAGTATATGATGTTTATGCCAGGACAATAAAACTATTTTATAGTTGCTTTGAGCACAGAAGTTGATGAAAATTGGAGGCTTTTTGCTGAAAGAATTCACCTAATTTACAAAGTGCTCAAAGGAAAACACATTTTCTTGATCAAATACACATTATTCACACACATGCAGTTGGTATATATTGTATTTGTTTTAGCCTATTTAAAATGTATAAAGTTAAGATGTATAAAGTTAATATTAGGATAATAATCCTAGTATAGGGTAAGCATTAAGGCTCTATACTTTGCAATGGTAAGGTGTCACCACAATTCATTATTTATGCTATTCAAAATGTCACTAAACGAATAAAGTAACTAATTTTATATAAATATGTTTCATTTCTCATTAATTTTGGACATGATAATCCAGAATTTGTGGTGCTGTGGATGGAAGGGGGAGAGCCAGGACGTGACCATCCTGAACTTCAAGACACCAACAACAGTGCGAATGCTACCTTGAGTTTACACACTGAGACCGTCAAAATAAAATGTTTAATTTACGCCTACTTGTTTTATTTCATACTATATTTACAACATCGTCGATATGAGATAATACACGGGTCATTTGAGCCTCCAAATCAAATAGATTCGGGCTGAATAATAAACTTAATCACCAAAATAGCAGGTAGAATAGACTGTGATTCATTAGTCTTGTTTGAGTTAAGTCTTGTTTGAGAGTTGTGGTCCGTCTGGCCACACGTCGTGTTTATACCGGATTTGGTGTCTGTTTACAATTACTCATGAAATTCAAAGTTAATGTTTTTGTTTTTGTGTTTGTTCTACTGGCAGTAGGACACGCAGGATGTTGTTTGGACCACTCACACATTTTTATTCTTTAAAAATAATGTTGATATGTTATTTGGTTTTGTTGTCATTAAAAAGCCTACAGGCTGTGTTGATGATATTACTCCCCCTGCCCACCCGCAGTCCCACCCCCAAGTATCTAGTTGAACTTTACTCTGAAGGCGCACACCGGAAGTCGATTGCGCTCTTTGCTATGACTTTACTATTGTCCCGAGGATGCGCATTTTCTCTGCTTTCAGGGGGAGGTTTGGAGTTGCCTGGACTCTCGCTGTTTAACTGCATTTATCCGCGAGGACTGATCACAACACGGATTAAAAATATCTATTAGTTTTTGTAAATCATCAGCCGTTTATTGTTTTTGTGTTTCGGTAGAGAAAAGAAGTTTTACATTACTAATCTTTTTCTCAGCAGGGAGACTCGGACTTTTGCGAGCAAAACGAGTTGGGATAAAAGGACTACCCACAGCCTGCACGCACGCACGTACTTTTCAGACTTGTTTGAGAGCAACAAACAAGAAAATATCTGTCATATTTAAGAAAAAATAGCATTGCTTTTCTAATGTGCATACTTTCCACACTTTTGCGCACTGTTGTTGTCTCAGGATTGTACAGAGGAGACGGTAGAGAGTGGAGGCTTTTCGTCTCGTAGAAGTTTGGTACAAATGTGCTGAAACTTGTTCGCTGAATGCTGGTTGTTCTTTTGGATTACCTGGTACTGCGGGCGGCCGACTTGTTTTGTCTGGGAATTAAACTTTCAGGAAAGCTTTTTTTTTTTTTTTTTTCCAACCAAAATCTCAGTTTTGGAGTCTCCATTACCAGAAGCATCGAGTGTCTGTTCCTCTGTAGTAGCCACCAAGGTGAGTCCATTTTACGCTCGAGCATTTACGCTGTTAACAAACTAACACAAATTGGTCAAATCTGCGTTAATTTCGTTTCCATCCACTGTCAACAACTATGTGATGTTGGTTGTGTCTTTTTTATGCAGTTTAAAAATGTTGTATTTGTTGGATACGCAGTATTTTGGTCAGAGTTAGCTACTTCAATTGAAGTTTGATGGGCAGGTCTGAATGTAATTCTGAAACTGTCCCATCCCGCCTTATCAAAGTAAACCAATGCAAATCACGGACCTACCAAGAGAAAAAGATGGGGCATTAGTTATTCCCTTTCCTTTAATTTATTAGTCTATTATTTTACTATATTGTGTTGGCCCGCCTTATGATAATTATAGGAATACGAGTGAAATGTAATATTAATTTTACATTATTGCGTTGCTTAATTTATTTTTGTGGTCTATTTAAAATAACACGCAACCATCATCTGTGAAGTCACCGTCTTTTTACGTGAGGCAACGTAATGTTATGTAAAAGCTCTAGATGTTTTGAGCTGGAAGTGCAGCTTGTCCTCGGGGAGTTCAACATTGAGTTTAAAAGGTCTAATATCCAAATGAAGCCAGCACCAGACATGGCAATTCACTTAGTTTTACCCTTTGGCAAAGAGAGGACATCCACTTTTTAATCCATGTAATAAAATGGTGTGAGGATGGCTTAGTCCTTCTTATGTGTTTTTCTTATTACTCACCCAGACAGTTTATAGCTGCTTTTGTGCCTGTGTACAATTACTTGAACTCATTAAATTCCCTATTTAATGTATTTTGGATGCTTTACAAACATCCACACTCAGGGCTGTTTCTGCATTAGCCTCTTGGGAAAACACACACAGTACTTTTGTATGTAGACAGAAAGGGATCAGGGTGTCAACCAAATGGTATAGTGTCAGCTCACTTGACATTAATTGTTTTTGCACTAAGGTGTGATCTGAAGACACCTGATCTCTATGGACAAACCTCTAGACTGTGGAAAAGGAAGAAGTAATGATGTTTGTTTTTATGAAAATAGTAGCCTCGGGACAGGAGAGACGCGAGAGTCAAGTAGTTAAGATTTTCCTTACTTTGTAACACATCCTCAAGTAACATTCAAATAACTTCTAAGACTAGCATTATCCAAAGTCACTGTAAAGCTTTTACTCCTGGGTGAGTAATATTGTTGTGATGTAACAATACTATCACTTGAGGACAGTTTTTGGCTCTGTGGACTGCACACAACTGGCTATTTAACTTGCCATTGGTTGTACAAAATGTGTGAGTGCTTGTGTCTCTAGGCCCTATATAAAACCTGGGTACCGTCTAGTCTACACACTGGGCAGATTGAGCAAAGGGGCTACAGACTGGAGTTGTGGAATGTTATGCATGGATGGCAGTGAACAGTAATTATTGTGCTGGCCATGTTATGGGTTAGTCCTGTAACCTTTGTGTGGTTATAATGAGGGAGACTCAAAGTGTCTGGTACATCTGTCCAGTTAACTAGGACTGCACAGCTTCAGAAAAACTATGTGATAATTGAGCTTAGTATTGTGAAATAATGACTTGCAGGCATATCCTGGGATATTATTGGTGGAAAGTCTGGCCAAATGAGTCAAGACAAGCTAATCAGGTTTAACCCTGGACTAAACAATGGCTGCATTTGATAATTCAGGTTAAGAGGGGTCTTTTAGTTGTGTCTGAACTCTTCTCGTTGGTTACTCTACCATAAAATGGAAGTACAAGTACAACAATTGGTAAACGTGTCAGTCAGGTACCAAAAGCCTCTAATGAGAAAGCATGAATAGTTGGACTGGTTAAGAACACTGGCAGCTTTCAATCTTTAGTTCGTTACAATCCTTGAGCCTGTTTCCTGTTCAGTGACTAATGAGCGTTTCTCCCCAAACCTGGAAACTCTGTCAGTATAGTTGGAACAGTAGAGGCTGTAATTAGACTAGACTCATGTGAAAAACTCTAAAGTCACTGACAAACAGTGCCCACATTTGTTCTGTCCTAAGATTGGATAAGTAAAGATGTCATCATTGGAAATTTGAATTTGCATTAACATTAAAATTGTATAAAAAGTGCACCATGTGACTTTTATCGTGGGATGTCAGCCACCTGCGTTTGCATCCATGGAGATATAATGATTTTGTCTGGAATGTTCCACAGTATGGCATGGCTCTTACTCCATATCGTATGCTGTTACTGGAAAACACCCTGCCTCTTCTTGTAATCTATGAAGTTACTTCGAAGTTACCATGCCTCTCCACAGATCTGGTTTATAACTTGGTCTGGTGGCCTGGTGGAGATAGTTGTAATGTCATTGCTCGGGATGTATTTTAGGTAAAACCTATCAGTCTGTCTATCAAGATTTTTACTATTTTTAAACAACCAAAAAAAAAAAAAAAACTAGAACACCATTAAAGGGAAAGATTTTGTGTATTTGACATGTAGTACTTCTAATTGTGACATAGTTGTAAATAAGCTCTCATCTCCCCAATGAATTTGATGGCTGGTGTGTGAAGTGCTCCCTCTGTGTGGACACTAAGGCATTGAGTATGTTTAACTCTTGATCCCACAGGATGACAGAGCACAGTGTCATACTTCTAAAGGCGCCACTTCCTCTTCCAATTATCAATGGTTGCCATGGCGAGGAGTAGTGGTCTTTCTTTGGTCCGTCTATTGGGCAAAACAAACTGTTTTTTTGGAGCTGTCCCAAATTCTGACTCACAGCTTACACAATTCAGTGATGACCAAGCTTTCTTTATCCCCTCAGGACCCCTCGACCCCGCTCAGCTGCTACGACACTGCATGGGCTTTGGTTCTTGGAAAGTGAAATTCAATTGGTTTTGTGGGGGAACACACAATAATGTTTTCCAAATGAACTGTCACAGAGGCAGCCATTACCGCTTAAAGGAAACCACAGCTGCTTCTGAACATGAGTCTGTGTGAAGGGCTGACCAAGCTGGGGTTTGTCTGACCAAAATATAGAGCTATAGTTTTGAGTTGGCCTGGGACATTATTGTCTTGAAAGTCAAGATTCAAAGCATTTGTTTGGCACTTTGTGACAGGTCTGTAGAGCAAATGATCTCTGTGGGGGCCATTTAAGGCACTACACCAACTTCCTGATGACAGATTTCTCTTAAATGATCATTTAATACTTTTTTTTCCAGCTACAGCTTGTGTTTGGTTTTCAAAATATCAACTTCAACACAGTAAAAGATGTCTATCAGTCTAGGTCTAAACTGGGAATAAAAGGCATCTAACCCTAACATCTTAAAAGTTTGGTCTAAGCCACTACAAAACCAGGATTAGGCCAAATTCAAAATAGGATAAACCTCATCTTGAACTATTAAATATATGGCTAGGACAGGCTCTAGGTTGCGCTGGGCAATGATGAATGAAATTTCAAGATTGAGATTCACTCGGTTGTAATTGTCATTGATATGCAAAGGTCTTTTTAACAGCTTATGCTCTCTCAGTAAAAGCATTTTTCTGTTAATGTAAAGTGTGTTTTAAGTCAACGAAATTTGTTTTTAATAAGACAAAATGAAATTGAAAAATGTGATGAATCAATGTGAGGAAAGAAAATGTGATTCATTTTTTATTATATTGCCCAGCCTTAACTCATGAGCAAGCCTTCATTGGTAGCTGTCCCACTGTTGAGAACCAAAAGAGTAAATGGAGTCACATAGCTTTGCCCCCTCTTTGCGTAACAAATTCTTCAAAGGACATAGGAGAGATGACAGGACCAAGTGTGCATGTCCGTATCTTACTGATGATGTCCACAGATGTTGCGCCAAGGGTCACTGGCTGTAAAGTTGACGTAGGATGAGAAGTAGTGAAGGCTGTGGTTCATCCTTTAGACTGTGGAGCTGTGAAAGTGAACTTGGGCCAGTGTTTTTATGGTGATAGTCGTAATGACCTCAGACCACAAGAGTCAAACAACAAAACGTCTTTATCCAGAGATGTGAGCAGCATGTTTCTACTCTCAACTGACAGAGCAAGCAGCCACTAGGCACTTTCTTATCAATGTTTTGTAAAACCTCTTTAGTGGAATACTATCTTTGTGCATGCAGACACAATATAAAATTCTGACACTTTGGGAGCGATGTTTTTCTCTTCACCAGATTAGTATTGCTTTTACATATTGCAAAAGTTTTTATGCCAACAAATGTAGGAAAATGTAGGCATTTTCCATCAGCTCATCATTATCATAAAAGTACCAGTAACAAAACAAAATCAAAGCTCCACAGACATAACAAAGATACTATATTGTTTATAGTGTTGTTCCTAATCATATATTTGTTAAGTCCAGGTTTAGTTTTAGGTTTTAGTCTTACTTTATTCCAAATATGTAATATTCTCTTGCACATTTATTTCTAATAATTTTCTGCTTTATTTCTGGGTGTGTAGTGAAGCAGTATCCATGCCGTGCTGCTGATGCCCACGTCTGAATGGAGAAGCGGTCGCAGAGAAGCCAACGGTCGTAGCCCCTTGTTCAGGATGCTGACGGGGCATTGTCTACTCCTGCTCCTGGCTTTATGCACACAATTTCTGAGCATGCACTGCCGACTGGCCAGCACAGATGAAGGTAAGGACTTTGGTATTTCTCATGAACTTTTTATAGTGATATGAGAATTGAATTGTAATCGTCATCCATTTCAAATCACCTTTTAATAAATTAATTTTGAAATTCGAAAGGTTTATTTATAATGCATGGTATCTTAGGAAAGGAAATGAGTTGGACAAGGTCTGTCAAAGTATTAAAGGTGCATTGTGTAACTTTTCCGGTGGAAGGCCCGTCAAATACCTTTCTCCATGGATATTTCATTGCTTTGTCTAGAATGTTTGACAGTATCGTTATGGAAACCAAACTAGACCACGTCATATCTGTGGAGAGGCAAGTTGTCTCACAGTCAGAATGTTTGTTTTTCTAGGTATTTTGAGCTCTAAATCCAACTGTAACACTATGAAACCTTCAAGGCAGAGCAATGCCATCTCCAAGCAGGTGGCGGACGCTCCACCTGAAAAGTTACACAATGCACCTTTTAAGTAAATTAAGTAAAAGTATTATTACGCTATGGCTATATCAAAACCCAACATTCTGACTTCCTTCAGTGTAGCAGTGCACCCATAGTTTATCAATGCTTGGGACTGGACCAAGATCACTCTGACTTATAGCTGGATACTGTTTCCTGGTTTGAGTTTTATTAAACGCCCTGTATCCGAGTGGACTCACTGGGGCAGTCTTATCTGGCCCATTGCCTTGAGAAGCAGACCAGTGATAATCAGAGCTTTGTTCTTGTGCAGGAATGTAATCCTAACACACTCCAGGCCACACGGACACTGAGGCCTGCCCTTTGTAGTGTGCGTGTTCCCACTTCCCCCTTTCTCCTCAGTCTGATGTTTGTTAAGTGCAACAAATTCACCACAGACGCTCTGTGCATTCTTTTTTTTTTTTTGCGGTGGTGATTATATAGTATCCAAATATGTACTATTGAAACACCCAGATGGGAAGTCAGAGCACATATTAACTTCTGAAGCAATCACAATATTACTTCCAAAATGTAATTACACATAAAGTATAGCTGTAACAAAATTATTTGCTACTGTTATGTGTTTAACCAAATAATACTGCCTCAATGGCCCTATGACCTTTGTATTTCTCCTGATAGGAGTTTTTAGTCACTTTTGTTGAAACTCTGAATATACTGGATATGCTGATGTAAATATACATGTTTTACTTGCTATAATTCCAAGATTAATTTTATTTTCCAAAGAGTATTCATCCTGATTTGCCTGCAAGACATGTTCTGAAAAGGGAAAAGCGCCACTGAAACCAAATCCTTAAAAATGTGTCTCTTGGAAGCACTCCAGCAGAGTAATAGCCGGCTGGACGTGTGGGCAGCGAATTGGGATGTTTACACTCTACAGTCGGAAGTGGAGCGCAGCCACTGGATATGATAAAGCCTCAACGTTATAATTAGAGATATTAGGAAAGAGGGTCTCTGTAGGGTCTTAAGCCCTAAAATAAACTTGGTGTAGCTGCTCTGGAGCCAACTCTGGGACAGGGAGGAGTAAATGGGTCCCATGTGTCGCCTCAAGGCAGCCATGCTACCTCGTCCAGCTCTGCTCCTCTCCTTTTGTAATGAAAAGGTATTTGTTGTCACTGAGAGTAGAGTTAACTGCCAGGGAAACTATAAATTAGCCTGTTTTTGAAAAAGAGGAAAGAAGACGCTACTCTGAGCCCACCCCTCCTGCCTCGGGATAGAGTTTCTTAGGGGAATGTTTGTCTTCTGTGTCATAAATTTCCATTGTGATGAAGGAGTGGAGATGGGGGTAGGTTGAAGTATTTACACCCCGCCCTGCTGCTAATCACCAAATGGCCAGGTACTATCTATGCACAGCTCCCCCACTTGCCAGCCTGTGAATTCTAGGTCACTTTCCCCGCTCCCCACAGTGTGACGGAGGGTTTCAGCTGTCCACAAACAATCACAGCACATGCATTTGGCTGCATTCCTTTTGTCTCCGTGCAAGAAAACAAAAAGTGATATTCAAATGGCTTTGGTTCATGCGTGCCTCTTTATTTGTCTAAAAGCGTTTTGTTGTCTGTATAATAAGCCCTATACAATTAAATTAATCTACGGTCTTCAGAGCCAGATTAGAAACGAAAATAATAATTTGATTACCAACGTTTCCTCCTTCCAAGTTCAAATGTCCAATGTGTGTTACTAAAAATAAATTAAATGTCAGCAAGTTGAATTATTATAATATATTGTGATCTGTGAGCTACTGTGTCCAAATAATTTCCCTTGTGGATCAATAAAGTTTGTCTAATTTTAAGTCTAATTAGCATTCTGACATGGTAGTCCTAAATCAATTATCTTTTGTATATTCTGAATGCTTGGTGACTAAATTGGCACGGACTAGTTTTCCATGTTGCTTCAAAGTGCTAATTCATGTTGATTGTGTCTCATTTAAAACTGAAAAGGCCATGCTGGGGTGTATTCACTGCTGAGGTGGACTGGTGAACTTTTGGGGCTCTGCTAATGGCCTTTGTCCCAGTCATTGGCTTCCTGCTAGTCTCGCCTTTTGTCTCTTATCAATCCTCTTTATGCGTCACCCACCTTCACTCTGCTCTGGTTAAATTAGCGGAGGAACGTGCCAATGTTTTTTCAGTGTGGCACAAGGAAAAGGCCTCGACCGTCCGGAGTCACTGCATTCAACCATCACTGCAAAGAGGGCAGGAAATCCCACAAGTCATTCATGCAGCATATTGCTTCCTATCTTGTACTCAGAGTAGGTTCCAATGACTGGTGCCAAGCCCTTTTCCCCTTATTCACACACTGTTGATTTTTAGCTCAGAACTCTTAAAAATTGAGAAAGGTTCATGTCATTTATCTGATTTCAAACCATGCCAATCAGGTTTTTAGAAGAAGACAACAGATCTTTTTATAGTTTGGCACCGTACTAATAAAATATTGCCCATAATCCATTTTGATCTAATCAGTGAACCCCCTGGAATACTGGAAACTTTTGAGGCATATGCCAAGTTATGTTTATCAAACCATGTAGAGAGAGGCAATTATGATTTTAGTGTTATTCATTTGTATTTAATTTTAACCACAACAATATCTTTGACTCCCATTGTACTTGGATTTGTATTTAGCAAAGTGTTGAAACCAGATTGAACACTTTTATGAGCTTTGGTAGGTTTTGGTATTGGCTGATTATGGCTATGTAAAATGTTATGTCATACTATTGTTAAGATAAACAACCTCCTTTTGAATTACATGTATCTTCCGTTTGTGCAGTCTTCCTTAACCAAATAACCTGGGATGTCTTATCAGTGGCGTTTGTTCCCAAGGCAACTCCTAGTACATTGCAAATAGTTCTCGACCTGACTTACAGCGTTTTCCAAATACACCCTCTGTCTCTAAAACTGCTCAAACATTTCTTCTACTTCCCCCTATTCAGTTTGTTTTGGAGGAGAAAGTTGATCCTACCCCCTGGCCCCCTTTTCCTGCTGGGATTAGGAGCCCTGTCAGACATATGTGATCCAGGAAATACCTTTACTAGGCCCAAGTGGGGTCACCATAGCAACTGGCACCAGAACCTGCCTCTGCAAGCCCTCTGCCTTCTGCACATGCTCCGTAGAGATGTCCTTTTTAAAGTTGGATTATAAAACAAAACAACAGCCTTCGTCTCCATGTAGGAAATGCTGCAATGATCATAGCCTTTATGTGGGAAATTGTTCATCTTATATTTGAATAATTATGTCTTTTTATTTATTTACTTTTTTAAAATAATAATAATTGAGGTACTTGAAGGTAATGGTGTAAAATGAATTGGACTCTCCTACACTGTTCTACACTACTCAGTGCTACCTCTGACCTCTCATTGTTTGGGAGTCTTTTGTTGAGACGATGGGAGGGATTACATTGCAGGTTTGCTTATGTTGACATAAAGTTGGAGTACGGTATGGTTATGCTTCCTGTGTAGAGGAAGTGCAAGGCCAAACAAATGTCCATGATTTCATATGTGTGCTGTCAGCAGGTTGTATATTAAATCATGTAACTTTTACTTTTCACAATTACTCCTATTACTGTAAAGTACTTAAATTATTGCTGTTTTTCTTGCAAACCTTTATCTTGTACAACTTCACTTTATTTTCATGTTTAGTGGTTTGTTTATATAAATTTCTATTACAATCATCAGTTAAATGATTGTATAGTGCTTTTTATGTGACTGTCATTTGGAGGAAGTATTCTAATGCATTCAGGAAAGGCCTTGTACTGTAGGAAGTTGTAAAAGAAAATCACTTGTTAACAGATCCTGCCGGGCATTATTTTTAGACCTGTAGCAGCTAGGCTGATACAACAGTAAGAATGCTACATAAGTTGGACAGTGGCGATCTCTCTGCCTTTGTGCTCAGAAAAACAACACTATTGTGATGGACGATGTGTCAGCAAAATTGGGTTACCCCCCTCCCCCGGTGGACTACGTAGTCATTTAGCACAGGAGGGCTCAGGTGTCTCGTGCTGTGACGCCTCTCCGCTCTTCACTGCTCTAATCAAATTCCAGCTCCGCTTGTAAAGTAGTTGCGGCCCACCCTGCCCCACAACAGGCTTTGACTAATTTGGGATAAAATTGAATTTACAGGTGAAGTAAGATGGGGAAAGTGGACAGTGGATACAAGGAGAAAAAGGCTTTGTGTTTGTGAAAACTTTATGTGAAGTAGTGTCCAATACCTTGTGCAGTTTCTTGAAATAAAAGATAGAGGCAAATCTAGACATATAAAAAGTACAAAATGTACAAAATATATTTTTTTAGAAGTCACATAATGGGTAAAGAAGATTTTTTTTATTGAGTGAAGTTTACATAAAATCAAAGTTTATGTTTGCAAATATTTCCTAGATTTCCTATAAAAAACGTTTGTTCAAAGGATACAGCTGCTTTACTAGATTTGATAACAGCTTTTTTTTGTTCTTCTGGTTCCTATAGAAACACAAAGTGAACCGTACACTCTCTTACTGGGGGACCCTCTGGCCCTGAGCTGCTCAACAAAGGACACGGACCATGTGGTGAATTGGACCAAAGACAATGTGGTGATAGTTGACGGTGAACACACTCACATTCGGAATGGACAACTGGAGATTGAGACTGTGGAGCTGACAGACTCTGGGCTCTACACATGTACCACCTTTGGCAACCACAGCCTCTACTTCAATGTTACAGGTGAGGATATTTTAAGCCTGTTAATAAATGGTCATGCCCATGGTCTTTTAAAACATTTAACTTGAACAAAATATCAAATATCAAAAAATCTATCAATTCATATTCACGAGGCATTTGTACTCGGGTAGGGGAGAATGTTTTGCCCAATGACACAGTGGCAGTATCACTCTGATTATTGGATGACTGCTGCCAGCTGCTGGATTCTGAAAACAAGAAATGTGTTAATATGTGTGCTTTTATTGCAGTTGATGCTATGGCTTCATCAGAAGATGATGATGAAGATGAGGAGTCTTCATCAGAGGAAGCAAAGTTATTGGGCAGTCAGAAGAAGATGCGTAAGTGACATTTAAAAATATTTAGATCCAAACCATCCATTGTTTCCCTTAAATGAGTCATCTAATTCCTTCAACTCTTATAGGTTGGTGGTTAATGGGAAAGTGATTTAGGTCTGAATCAGAGATGAATAACTAGAATAATGACACATTTAAGCACTATAGTGAGTAACAGTGGTAAACCTGTTGTGTCACATAATGTTATTAAGAACCATCACTCAGACCTCAGCATCTGGGCAAACCACAAAGAGTGTGGCAGGCATGCTGACCTTTCTGTGCACACCCTAAATGTGACGCAGTTCCTAATAGTTCAAAATCTTGATTTTGTTATTTATACATTTTTTGTATGTCCAACACCAACCACCTTCTTCTTTCTTTAGCTATGCCTCCTCAATGGGTTCAACCAGGGAAAATGGAGAAAAAGCTCCACGCTGTGCCAGCCAGTAAGACTGTAAAGTTTCGTTGTCAGGCCAGTGGTAACCCCACGCCAACACTCAAATGGTATAAGAACGGCAAGGAGTTCAAGAGGGACCATCGCATAGGAGGATTCAAGGTTTGTGTTGTTTGTTCCTCAGTGTATGTTTCCTCTGCATATTCCAGGTTATACTACCATTGAAAATCTGTACAATATGTTTGCCGAAGGATCTGAAGTGCCCCATAATGGAGTATCTTAATCATAGTGGGGCATTACAATAATTTAGACACCATTGATTACCTGGCCCATGTGGTAAACAATTTACTCAACTTTAGCAAAGCATTTCATCTTCACCTGTTTGGAGGCGATGGTGAGCTCATCTCTATATCTGATCACCAACCCCTCCCTGATTGTAAAGTGGAAAACCCAGACAAGTTACACATTTGACCTCAAAAACAATGTGGCTGAAATCCAATGCTTCTAATGAAACAGTACCATATTAAGAATACCTCCAGTTGTGTGGGAGACTTAAGCCATCCCTATTATTTTTTGTTTTACTTTTGTTTTTCAGTTTGCTTTATGCCACAGAAAATGTACAGCCACCTCTTGATAACTAGTGTTTTACAATGACTTCCTTTTTTGACATCCTTTTATTTATAAGCTAACTGTTTTCATATATGTTGTTAATGCTGATAACATGTAATATTGATAAGAATTTTACAACTGTCTGGGTCAGTCAGTCTGTTTACTTGGTTTCATAAGTTTAAGGAGTGTATCTCTACTTCCCCCTCCTTATCACTTTTGGTTGTGGTCACTAAAGTTTACTGCTGATAACATTACTGATATCGGCTTATCACTCCAAATGGCTTCTTTTGAGAGTGAATAAGCTACTTCTTGGCTGGTCTTTGTGATCTGACACTGTTTATTGGTGGTAGTAAATCTTGTGTTTTTATGTACCTTAAAATTTTGCGATGAGTGTGTGTTGAGGCCGTTGTTGTGCAGGTGTGTGGGATACTTTACATGTTAACGGAGGGAAACGTCTTCTTCCATCTGTTTATCCCATCATGTGCAGACCAGTCCAGCCCTGTCCTGTGTTACTACAGCCTGTCTTAACTCCACAGCTGGAGCATATTTAGGAGTTTCCTCTCAGCTGCCCGTCTCCACCCTGCAATGTCAGATTTTACTTTTGGACTAAGAGGCTTCAAGAAATCAAACTGAAACCAAAGCATCATCACTACTACTACTGATAAAATGATGTTTAATCTTTAGTAATTTTTGCCCTTGGCCCCACACAGTGCTGTACATTATTACAATTAAAACACAGTGAACTAAGGCTACTGTTGATGCTTGCTCAGTTCAGTAAGTTATCTTTATTAAGTACTGTGTTGAAAATAACCCCTTAAAGTTGCACTGTGTAACTTTCAGTGGAGATATGTTTGCTTTACCTGAAAGATTTCACAGTATGGCATTAAACTCATCTATGTTGCATTTATTCAATTAAGAGGTTTTACTGGTCAAAAATAGTACAAAGCTCACCCCTCCAGAGGTCTGACCTGTGGACTTGTCTCCATGGAAATAGATAAGTTTAATGCCATACTGTCAGGCATTCTAGACAAAGCAATAACATTTCCATGAAGACAAGCATTTGATACAGATTTATACATAACTAAGATTAATATTTTACAGTTAATTAAACCATGCAGTACCTTCCCCATCTGGCTTCAGTTTTTCAGTCTAGGTGCCATGTGTGTATGGGACGTCTCTCATTCCCCCTGCGTTCAGCTTTTATGGCCAAGGCATCTATTGTTCATATCTCTACGAAGGGATTGAGTAATGTAGACCACATGCATGAAGCCAAGCACAACACATCTGGCAGTAGGCAGCTGGATTCCCTCATCACGTTTTAGCTAAATGAGCCCGCCGTATGGTTGGTGGATTTGCAGGTTTGATGTTGCTATTGCCTTAGAGGTTGTCTGGTTAATCACACACTGCCGGTCTTGGCAGATTTATGGAAGAAAAATTATAACATGTCTTGGAAAAAGAACCAGACTTGAGTTGGGGCTAACAAGGCTAAGACAGGTTTGGGCAGATGTATATAAAACAACATTTTCCTGTGTTTTGTTAGGATCCGGTTTGTCAATCATTGGGTGTTGTCAGGAAGGAAGTGGTGCAGGATAGTTAAATCATCATCACACATAATTAATCTCATAATTCAATTGGCAGTTCTATAATACAGTGTCAAACTGTGGTGTACATCCGGCAGCATGCTGGCTTCTTTTGGTATTACTCAGCCTTTTGTGATTTTATGTTACGTTTTATCTTGTCATTCTTCAAGTCAAAATTGACTAGCAATTTTAATCCTATTTATTTTGGCTGTTTCATTCTGAGATTTGCCCTGATTTAGTTTATTTAAGCAGCGGACATTTTTGATCACATTGGTTTGAACATGAGTGGTTCAATAAAATTTCTTTACCAACTGAAAAATCCCACCTTTTGTTTATAGGTGCGTGACCAGGTGGGCACCATCATCATGGAGTCAGTAGTGCCCTCAGACAAAGGCAACTACACTTGTGTGGTGGAGAATCAGTACGGCAGCATCAACCATACCTACCAATTAGATGTAGTCGGTAAGTTGTATATTTTATTTGAAGATTCACACAGTCACAGTGAGCCTGCTGTTTCTTACAATGGGATCATTCTCAGAGTGTTCAAAATCATATATAAATTTACACAAACTCATGAACAAGAATTTTACTACCACCTCTCTGATAAATGTTTACCATCACACACTTCAGGCATAAAACCTCCTCGAGAATATTATTATATTTAACACAAGGCACTCAAAGTGATTGCATCCATTTATAGTTCATAATTATACTTTATGCTTAGCTGCAGAAACGGCAATTATTTTCCCTGAAAGAAATTGCAGCCTAACCTGTAAAATGACATGGTATCATATAAGATTAAACAGACCTGCTATTACTATAAGCTCTCATCTTCCCTTTTTAGGTTTTGTGTTTTGGGAATGAGGGTAGCATTATATAAAATTATGCACACATCCAACTTTATCATGAAAATTGGTTGGTTTCAGATTCTATAATGTGATACAGTCACAATCTCAGAGGAGGAGTACATCTAAGAATCTATTTAAATATTTGTATTGTTTATTATATCATCTTTATAATATCATTAGTTTTAGCTTCTAAAATCTAAATTCTCATCGAAGCATATGTATAATGCCAATATTGTAATTTTGCCGTTACCATCTATATTTTTCTTTGAGCTATAATATCAGAAAAAAGCAGTAGTATGATTCTATAATTAGGGGAACATTTCATGTCCACTGGCTGTATTTATCAATTGTACAATTATTCCTTGAAGCAATGATAGTTTTCCTCTTTTGACAAAATTTGGTGCCCTGATGGCATTATTGTTTTTTCAGAATATAGCAATTTTTGTGCTGTGGAGAGCATTTTTTTGTTGTCCACTTCTCAAATTTCAAAGCTTCAAATTAATTTGTATTAATTGTTAATTTGTAAACCCCAAAATATTTGAGTAGGAACTAAATGTTAGAAAAGACTGATTTATACATAACATATGTGCTCATTATTTGCATATTAAATACTTTCATATATGCTTGTCCACATTTTCTTCATCATCTGGGTAACGCCTTGAATAATCCCTTATAAAACTGCAATGGTTCACTCTAAAGTCACAAACTCAAAACCACAATGAAGCCTCAGCATTTCTGGAGTGAGTTTTGAAAAGGAGACTGCTCAGGTTTAACCCGGTTCTTTGAAAGAGACATCCTGCTTTATTGCGTAGCCACCCTCAAAACTTTTCAGACGTCAACCGGATAACACACGGATCATTAAACTGCTCAGAATTCCCCGTTTTAAATCCTTCTCTAAAAAACATCAGAGCCAGTGTCAAAAGGACATAAAACCTTTTAAACAAATGTGGCATCATAAGTACGGTACTTCGAGAACATCAATATGAAATGTTAATTGCCCATTACCCAGTTGACAACTTCAAACAACATTAATAACTTAAATAATTATTTGGCTTAAGCTTTTGTTATTTTTATGTCACCTTGGGGGTCTGTTTTGAAAATATGTAGTTACTTTAGCAAAAAAAAAAAAAAAAAATCACTTTTTTTGTTTTCATCTTTAAAGGTGCACTGTGTAATTTTTCAGTTCTGTTTCCGTCATCTTTTTGTTTCCATGGACATGTCCCTGCTCTTCTTGATATTAAGCAGATTTTACTTTACATGTATTCAATTACAGGTGGCTTTGTAGCTCAAAAATACCTTGAAAACAAGCATTCTGACTGTTGCCTTTCCATAGATCTGTAACTTGATCTGGTTTGGTCTCCATGAAGATAGAAAGATTAAAGCCATACTGTGAAACATTTATTTCAAACAAAGCAATAACATCTCCATCAAGAAAAGCATTTGATTGACTCTTCACCAGAAAAGTTACACAATGCACATTTAACCTTTTATGTATTGGGCTTCCTTGTCATCTACAGAGCGCTCTCCTCACAGGCCGATCCTTCAGGCCGGGTTGCCTGCAAACCGTACAGCAGTGGTGGGCAGTGATGTAGAGTTTGAATGTAAAGTGTTCAGTGACCCTCAGCCTCACATACAGTGGCTCAAACACATTGAGATCAATGGCAGCCGCGTGGGTCCCAACGGCCTCCCATACGTCCGCGTGCTTAAGGTATGAAGAAGATGCGCAGATTTATGGTTTCTATATTCAATTATGATGTTAAGAAAATACATCCGTAAGAATGTCAATCCTGTGTGATGCTTTAAATGGCAAGCAAGTAGCATGTTTGTTGGTATAGGATTTTTATAGGAACTCTTTATCGGAATTCTCCCTAATAACTTGGCAAGATAGATTTGCTTTATAATGTTCCTTTCTACTATGTGCAAGGTTTGCAATTAGTAGAAATAAAATGGAACAAATATTATACTTCTTCTAAAAAAAAAAAAAAAAAAAAAAAAAAAACAGTATTAGAACACACAATACAACCACTTGCTTGTCATTCAGTGCTGAATTTTTACATGTGTTTTTGCAGTTTATTTCATTCACGCAAATGTTTTTGTTGTGTCTTTTGCCCATAACATGTTGTTTATTTCCAGCATTCTGGGGTCAATAGTTCGGATGCTCAGGTGCTGACCCTCTACAATGTGACTGAGGAGGAGGGCGGGGAATATACATGTAAAGTGTCCAATTATATAGGAGAAGCCAATCAGTCGGCCTGGCTGACTGTCACCAGATATGAGCCCTCAGGTAACCATCACCACTGCTGCTGCTATGCCCAAAAGAGGAGCCTCCTGGAAGCATAGGGCCATGTTCAAGCCCCTAGACAAGCTGTTTCTCTCCTCCCTCCCCTCATTTTTTTCTCCTGCCTCGATGCTCCTGACTGTAAATGACGCTATGGAAAATTCCCAGCAGAACAGTTGAGAGTGTTTAGACCCTGGGTTATGCTGTCTGTGTGCCTGAGCTGTGCCCTCCTAATTAAGGGCCTCTCTGCCATCTTCTTCTATTACTGCCACTCCCCTGCCCTTCAAAGTTTTGTGTGTTTTTTCCACACTTCCTACCCATCCTTCTCCTACTGTTGTTTTTATGTTTTTACGAGCCCACTTTCCATCAAGAGGCTTAGTATAATTCACTCTAGTACTAAAGGGCTATTTTCTATTTCTCAGCTCCAAAAAACTCTACTTAGCCATGCTTACAATAATAGCATAAGAGATTGAGTTGTATTATTGCCTCCAGGACTCTCATTCAAAATTCAAAACTTTTTCTTGAGCAGTCCATCCGAGCAATCACCTTAATACATAAGCGACAGACTTAACAATAAAGTGTGGTAAGTTCAAGTTAAGGTAGTCCAAAGATGGTAGAAAGGCTCTTTATGTGTGAGTGTGTGTGTATGTGTGCTTGTGTGCTGTTCTGCTGCAAACATTTCCATGGTGACCATCTCGTGCATGTAGAGATGAGACGAGGTGTTGATGTGGTGATGGGATAGCCCAGGTCTGGACTTCTCTAACAGCTCCTCCACTAACAGGCTGGAGGGCTCTCCCTGACAGAGACCTCTGCAGTGGGCTCTTGGTGGTGCCTTTGGGGCCGATGGTGCTGGATCAAGAATAACCGCGCTCTTCTCTTCTCTGATCTCTCTCTCTCTTTCAAAAGCTTTTACTCATGGTTACCTTTTCCTTCTTGGGCCTCTTGTTGGGTCTTCTTCCTTTGTTATTTTCTAGACCGCTGGCCTTAACACCACGGACAAGGAAATGGAAGTCCTCCAACTGAGAAATGTGTCTCTTGAGGATGCTGGGGAGTATACCTGCTTGGCGGGCAATTCTATCGGGTACTCTCATCACTCTGCATGGTTGACCATTTTTGAAGGTATCAGTGGTCCTGTCTTTCTTCTATTTTCTTCTTTGTGTCTTTATTCGTTTCTGCCTGGACGTTCATTATCGCATTTATCAGAACGAGGTTGATTTAACCTCAGCTCTGTAGAAAAATGTGTGGGGAAGCCAGGGCAAGTTACTGTACTTAAATTCTCTTCTGTCTGAATGCTCAGCATGGTTCTTACCTCATCTAAACTGTTAAGATGGGAGTGTTTGTGCCATGCTCTGCTGTTTCGTTGTAACACAGAATGCCAAACAATACAACAATTATGAGACACAGGATGAGACACTTCAAATTCAGAAATTTCATTAAATGGCATATACATAAGTTTACATAAAAAGTATTCTTAGGATATCACCTGAAATTCCAACTTCAAGTCAAAGCTTGTAGTTTGCAAAAGACATTCTAACTGTACCTGCTTATAAACAATTTTTTTTTTTTGCTTTAATTCTTGGGGCCATTTTATTTGTAAAACATCACAAAGCAGTATTTCCAATATTGTTTAAGAATTAAAAAAAAAACAAAAAAACATTTAAACTATAGTCAACATTATGACTGATGCAAGCAAAGTAAAATGTAAGTGTCCTCTTTAGGTTAAATAGTAACCCCGCAGTGTCTCGCCTCAAACCATATGACATTACATTTATTGGTCTGGGGCAGGTAGGATGTCACTATCACTAAAGGCTTGTTTGGCAGCTCTAATGAGACTCCACTTTGAACTCCCTGTACTCTCTGCTCTTTAATTGGTGTTGATTTGGTGAAAAGCTGATGCTCTTTGACAAGCTGGGTAAATGACATGTATTAGTGATGTCATTTCCTGCTGAGAGCTTTGATAATTGCCCCTCTGAACTGGAGTGGTCCCATTCGCAAGGGTCCGAATGGGCATTTGTCCAATTATCAAAGTGCTTGTCAGTCAGCCCCTCCACACAAGAGCAGTGCACTTGTGTAGTTGGTGTTTTCGGTTAGGGTTGTGATTGCACAATGTTGGTATGGCAGCCATGGTTTGGGATAATGGCAGTAGTGGGTTTGAACGAATTTTGAACGAGTTTTCTGCCACCAATATAAAGCAATCAAATTAATATTGTAACATGTTGTGAGTACAGGCTATTCCTTGAAAATGTCACTGTAAATTTGAGCAGCAGCTTACTTAAATTTGTTGTACAAGCTAAAATAGATTGTTGTGACAATTCTAAAATGTCAAACTCTACTGATCCAAAGGGAAAGCCACGATACAAAATTCTAGTTGTTTCTTTAGAATTACCTCTTGTGGTCTTAAACTATTTCCGAAACTTAACCAGCATGCAGCATTTAGGACTCATTGTCAAGCATGATGTAAAAATAACATAATGACATTATGCTGTATATAAAATATTCTGTAATGTTCATTATTTAGTTTTAAATATATGGAGATGGGAAAAGTCCGACTGCCAACACCTCAGGACTATATGACCTCAGTAGAGAGACAGATGTTAGATCTTAAACTATTCAAATATTGTTTGACATATTATATTTCCCCCTCTTCCCCCACAAAGACATATCCAAAACCAAGGCTTGCACGATACCCTTAAACATGGAAACAATTACACTCTGAGCACTGGTATTAATAAACGCTGGTGTTTTCTCTGAACGGGAGGAAAAAAACACAATTTATCACGCTACACTTGCTTGAATCACCGGCACACAACTTATTAAAATGCCTTAGAAATGCAGTAAAAATGAGCATACCAATCTTAATGATCCTTATCTTGGGTAGCAATGAGCTATGCTTTGTAATATAGTGCTGAGACACAGATAATCATGAAATATGAAGTAGAAAATTCAATAATGTGTGTGATATGTGTGAAGTTTGGAGTCCTTGTCTGAAAGTTGGTTCCTTTGCTAATGTTTAGTCACAGAGCATAAACCGTATTTGCACTTTAGATTTATAATACAGGTTCTCCTTTTTCGACTCTGGGGAGAAAGTGACTGTGTGTTCTCCATCATTACATGTACAGCTCAGTGCAATTTTTTTAAATACAAAATATTAAGAGTGCACTAATGTTACAAATAATAGGGATTGGTTGCATTTTGGCACAGTATAGTATACTTTCACTGGTAATACTTGGGTGGGACTGTTCATGACTTGCAGTAGGATTGTGCCTAAATCTGATTGTAAACTCTTTTCAGTCTTGGTGAAATGAGCCATGAAACCCTCAAATCTCAGTAGTGATAATTAATCTCAGGTGAATTTTGTATCTTCAGTCCTTGTGTCTATATCACACACTATCTTGTAATTAAGTTGTCAGCCTTTTTAATTTGTGCACTGAACTGTACATCTACAGGTAAAGCTGTATGGTCTATGTGTTGTTTTCTGACACATGTCTTGTCACCCTACCCTCCTATGTAGCAGTACCCACTAATCCTCCAGCCAACCACACGTACCTAGAGGTGGTCATCTACTGTGTGGGCTTTTTCTTCATTATCATCATGGTTGTCATCACCATTATCGTCAAGATCCGCACCTCCTCCAAGAAAAGCGACTTCAGTGGCCAGATGGCTGTGCACAAGCTGGCCAAAAGCATCCCTCTGCGCAGACAGGTAACAGAAAGTAGATAGGGGGTTTGCATATTTACTTCTTAGCATAGGTCATTTTACAAATATAGTACTATTAAAATATGTCCCAAAATGTAATATTATGAGCAAATGGCTCAAGCATGCACTTTCATGCATCTCAAAGTAAACAAATGTAATGTCCAATCCAAAACAAATTCACCCAGTTAAATGTTTACAAATAAAAATACATGTATTTCTAGTAAGTAAACATGTTTTCCTGTCCTGTTTAATTGGAAGCTTATGCCTGCTTTCTACATGTAAAAGTTGTTTTGTTAACTTGCAATATAATCCCTTGTCCATCAGGTTGATGAGAGTATGCACAGTAAGTGTTTTAACAGTTCTCATAGTTCACTAGTTTAGGAATAATCTGACTGTAGTGATTTTGTGTTCCGCTTCGAGAGAGTAATGTCACTGCTCTTCACATTAGGTCTCTGTGGAGTCGAGCAACTCCATCCACTCAGGAGTGATGCTGGTGCGCCCATCTCGCCTCTCCTCCAGCGGCTCCCCCATGTTATCAGGAGTGTCTGAATACGAACTGCCCCAAGACCCACGCTGGGAACTGCCCCGTGACAGGTATGTCTATTAAATCTTCATTATGTAAAAGGTAGAAAGTTACAAAGTAAAAGTACTGTACTCAAGTAAAAATGTTGGCCATCTGTACTTTACTTAAGTAGATTTTAAAGATACTTTTTAATTTCATATATAGTTTAGGCAAACAAAAACATATTGACCAATAAAAAAAAATTTAAACACTAGGATAATGATAATAAAATATCATTTCAATTTTATTTATTTATTTATTTTTTTTTTTTGTTGAACAAAATCATTACATTTGAAGTGTTATTAGAGCTCAAACTCTGCATGAAATTACTGTTTACTCTTTAAGTATTATTTTAATGGGTACTTATACTTATGCATAAAAATACTTTTGCTTAAGTAGATTTTTTCCTGTGATACTTAACTTTTACTTTTTCCACCACTGTTATTTCTCAAAAGAAACCGGGCTACTACATTTGATCATGTACACAGGGATCAAATGCGCACTGTTTCTTAGTGCGCATGTAAACGGTATATCTCAAATACTGCCATGACAGGGATATGGCTAATAACCTGGATGCTCAGTGTATGTTCATGGGGGTGGGGGGTTGAAGTATCAGTATTGGTACTCAGTATTGGCAAGTACAGAAATGATTATACTAATATATACTGTGCTCATATCGGTCTTCAAAAAAGTGTTATCAGTGCATCCCTACCATCAGTAACTTTATCTATCTCCTTGTTTTGCTTGGCAACTCCTTAGGCAAGTGTGAAGTATGAAGAAATTTGACTACACTGCCCAGAAAAGTAAAGTTGGTCTGAAAATAGGGGCTATTTTAAAAATAAAAATTACACTTTATCCGTCTGTATACTATTAAAATGTTTGTGCCAAATCTATAAATGTGTTAATGTAGTTTTCCTGTTCTTTCCACTTCAGACTTGTTCTTGGAAAGCCCTTGGGTGAAGGCTGCTTTGGTCAAGTGGTGATGGGAGAGGCTCTGGGTCTGGATAAGGAGAAACCGAACCGGGTGACCAAAGTGGCTGTCAAAATGTTGAAAGGTAAGTTTGCTAGTTTTGTAATTGACTGATGTTTTTTTGGGAAAAGAAATTCTCTTTCAATATATTGCCTTGATACTAGTGCATCTGCTTTGGATATGAGCCAACAGGAAAATGGGAGAGCAGAAATAAAATTTATGAGAACCCTTGACATCACTTATAAAAACATGTTCATTAAACTCTGCAGCCAGAGGGGCAATGATGGAGCAAAAGTGTCATTTATAGTCAGAGAAAGAGCTAGAAAGCACTTAGAGATTTTCACATATCTCACGTTCACATTGAATACTTTTTTCCACAAACATTTTATAAATAAAGTTCCTGATTTGATTATTTTCTTCTCTCTCAGCTGATGCAACAGAGAAGGACTTGTCAGACCTGATTTCTGAAATGGAGATGATGAAGATTATCGGGAAGCACAAGAACATCATCAATCTTCTTGGCGCCTGCACTCAGGATGGTGAGAGTGAATAGGGACTTGACCTTCACATTTGGTTACCCTTCTTTACAAGACAATGCACAGACAGCATAGAATACTTAGTTGCTAAAATTGTCTTGTCAGACTTGAAAAAAAATAAAATAAAATAAACTCCCTTGCTGACTCCACCAGCATAAATAAGCTGCAGTCACACCCACAAATCCATCTCTTGGTGAATAAGTGGACCTTTGGTTTGGCCGTTTCTTTCAGTCATCTGTGAAAACCGTTCTGCCCAAGGTCCTGACCTTCAAAATAATGAAAATACTATTAATTTAATCTGATGTTGGGGTGGGCAATTTAGTAGCTTTCTTCCCTTTCCATTTGAAAATGCATATTATAAGAATTTTGCCTAATTTCATACTGTGATATTTTGAAAAAATATTTTTTATCTTTAATCTCAACACAAAAAGTTGCCACATACTCTCTTCCTATTGTATGTAGCACTGTAACAGTTAGCTATGAGTATGACTGCTCTGGGACTAATTCCACATTATGTGCAGGTCCTTTGTATGTGATTGTGGAGTACGCCTCTAAAGGGAATCTGCGCGAGTACTTGCGAGCCCGCCGACCTCCGGGCCTGGAGTACTGCTATAACCCAGACCAGGTCCCAGTGGAAAACGTGTCCATTAAAGACCTGGTATCCTGCGCCTACCAAGTGGCTCGAGGCATGGAGTACCTGGCCTCTAAGAAGGTAAAGTGATGTAATAATAATCTATCTGATCATTGTTTTTTCTGAGCTGGTATCACATTAAGCCTCGGGACTGAGAGGCAGATTTCCGGGATGATTAAGTCTAATAATGTGTTTTTGTTGTTTTTCTGCAGTGCATCCACCGAGATTTGGCCGCTCGTAATGTTTTGGTAACGGAAGACAATGTGATGAAGATAGCAGACTTTGGCCTGGCGAGAGATATTCACCACATCGATTATTATAAAAAGACCACTAATGTAAGTTAATGCACACTCATAATCTATTCTATGTGAAGAGTGCTTATAGACATATTGGATGTTAATAGTAGATATGGTATTTTCTAGACTATACAGATATTTCTCCATACTATATTGTATATTTTAGATTTTCTCTGTATTTGTGTTTAATCTTCGACTTTGTAGTAAAATAAGATCATTATGGATGATTGAACTAACCTATACCTCTCACACAGGGTCGTTTACCAGTCAAGTGGATGGCTCCTGAGGCTCTGTTTGACCGGATATACACGCACCAAAGTGATGTGTAAGTACCACATGCAGTAAATGTTGTGGTATGCATGTGAAGGGTTAAATTCTCAAGACATTTTTCCTGTCTTTTCCTGGCATGTTGTGTCTGCAGCTGGTCGTTTGGGGTGCTACTCTGGGAGATCTTCACCCTTGGGGGCTCTCCATACCCGGGGGTCCCAGTGGAGGAGCTGTTCAAGCTGCTGAAGGAGGGTCACCGCATGGACAAGCCGTCAACGTGTACCCATGAGCTGTAAGGAAAAACTCAACTCATCTTCCTCTCACTTTTCACACTACTATGCTGTTCATTAGATCCCAAAGGAGAAATAGTTTTTAAACAGCCAACATACCACTACCATGCCAGTGTTCTTATTACTTCTGGTAACAATATTCAAACCCTGAGTAACTGCATAGCTATTTGGTCTTTTCTTTTTATAGAATATAAATATCTGAACACTAACATGCAATATAATATCACGTTTTAAAGGTGCACTATATAGTTTTGCGGTTGTGAGTTCATCACCTGCTTGTTTGTTGTGTGACTTTAAACAGCTCTACCTTACATTTATTCATCTACAGGTGCTACAAAAATACCTAGAAAAACAGGTATTCTGACTGTGAGCGGGGTTGCTTCTCCATAGATCTGACTTCTAACTTAGTCTGGTTTAGTCTCCATGAAGATAGAAAGATTTAATATCATACTGTGACATATTCCAGACAGAGCAATAACATTAACATCTCCATGGAAATTACACAATACATTTTTAAGCATTATTTTACCCATACCACTGAGTTTATTACTACATTATCCTATTCTGTAATTGTGTTTCCTAATGTCTACTATTTGTAGTCATCTGTATGAACATAAATAGCCAGTGCTAAAATTATCTGCAGCCATAAAATTCGCAACCAGTGTAACTAATAAAGCAACTAAGCAACTAATGAAACATAGTAAAACATCATTAGATGTAATTTGTTGTGCTTGATTAAATACGTGTACTTGACATTTAGAGAGATACTGACATGATTCATAAAGGGACAACTTTATTGATCAGTGGAAAGCACTTCTGAAAATATTGCCTTATTTTTCTTTAATTTCCCATTCTCAGGTTTGCACAATTCTAGTAGGCCTCTCACATAAAAAATCAGCTCTAGACAGTAGAACAAATAATAAGATCCACTGAGACCTAATTCAGTTCTTACATGGTAATGTTGTGAATATAGGGCAGTGCTCCTTTTATATAAACTAAGATGATGTCAGTGTTTAAACAGTCTGTAGAATGGTATAAAAACTAAGGTGCTTAGCAACACAATAATTCCCTCTGCCATTGTTTGAGTGGCTGCCAATAAAACATGCATAACCCCCCCGAATAGGACACACTGTTCTGTGCATTATAAGACTTGCATTTTAGCATCAGCTACTCTGTAATAATCTAATAATAATATGGTAATTTGTGCACATAAGCAGTGTGGTGAGCCCGACCCAAGATGAAGTACACATTAATTGGTGAATTTGAATATGCTTGGGCAATGAAGGACAGTCGCCATGCACATAGACTTTTTTGACCTCAAGAGCTGCTTATACAATATGATGTGACACCTGTGCTCTGACCTCTGGCACTTATAAACCTGTGTGAATAATTAGGATATTACAGATGCAGGTTAGTGAGAAATAACTTTGGACCACTGCAAATAGTTTAAAGGTGCACTGTGTAACTTTTTGGTTGGGGGTCTGTCACCTGCTTGTTTCTACATGCCATTGGTCTGCTTAGAATGTTCCACAGATTTACCTTACGTGTGTTCAATTACAGATGGTTTTATAGCTCAAAAATACCTAGAAAATCAACCATTCTGCCTGTGAGCAGGGTCACGTAACTTGACCTGTAACTTGGTCTGGTTTGGTCACCTTGAAAATAGAAAGCTTTAGTGCCATACTGTGAAACATTCCAGACAAAGCAATAACATCTCCATTAAGAAAAGCATTTGACGGACACAATGCCCCTTTAAAATAAATTAGTTCTGTTTTTCAAGTTTTAAGACAGTAAAAATCATTTTTTAAGTAAAGCATTTATCTTCATCTTTGCAGATATCTGATGATGAGGGACTGCTGGCACCCTGTTCCTTCACAAAGACCAACATTCAAACAGCTCGTGGAGGACTTGGACCGTTGCTTGGCCATGTCGTCAAACCAGGTCAATATTATAGCCTTCCACAAATTCAGTCATTCTTCTTGCTTATACGTATATTTATTTTCATGTTTTAGGAGTATTTGGAGCTCTCTGTTCCCCTGGACCAATATTCGCCCAGTTACCCCGACACGCGCAGCTCTACCTGTTCATCTGGTGAGGACTCAGTCTTCTCCCACGAGGCCAGTGCAGAGGAGCCCTGTCTGCCAAAGTTCCCCCCTCACTCCAACGGGGCAGCCATCAAGAAACGCTGATACCTCATCTCCAAACAGAACATTTTATCCAGCTCTCACCCACGTCCATACTCCCAGTAATGAAGCTATAACTGATGTACTGTAAAAAAAAAAAAGGAGTTTAAGATTCCAAGATGAACATTGGACAAATCACATGGACTGAAGACTGAAATAGCCATTTCTTCTGTCTTTGGGGGGGATTTGGCTACCATGCAAAAAGGGCACTTTGATTTTGACTTATGCTTGGGCATTGTCAAAAAAGAGCAGACTTTCAGGCAACGCTCTGGCATTCCTCTGTTGGAAAATCAAAAGACTGATTCTAAATATATCAGGTTTTGATCTAGTTCTGTTTATCTGCCATTGGTCTGTTGATAGTAAAGGACTCCAAACTGCTTTTCACTTGAGTCCTTCAGTAACATTGTGTAAATACAGTTAGAAAATTATAAATATGAATATATATTTACACTTTACTCTTATTTTTATTACCATAATTGATTTATTTCTTTTGTACAAGGATGTGTCCGTTTTTGAATCTATAGTCTATGGGGCGGCAGTTACGTGATAAGAATATATGGCCAGTTTTCAGCTTGATACCCCCTTTTAAACTTACCAAACTGCGTAATCAACTATGGAAAAAATATGTTTTGATTTTTAATAAGCTATCATTTCAACTGCTTTTAACAACACCATTTGTAGAATATTGTAAATCATTGTCCAGAAATCTCCATCTACATACCACTTACCACAAAATATGCATTGTTTTTTGTGTATGTCTGTCTGTGTGAATGATAGCAAGAAGTCATTTTCTCCAGTCAACATCATGCACTTAACATTACCGTGCATGGCTTTATATGATTGAGTTTACCTCCTATTGTAAATGCTATGACAAGAATAACATTACATTCACTGCCATATAACTTCTGACGCAGGGTTGACAAAAGCGCATGTCATCGTAAAAGGATTACATTAAATAAAATGCTATTGAAAAACAAACTGCTAAAGCTTTCAGAGTTTGAAGTCCATAAACATGCCTATAACTATTAGATATGCATGTCTCTAGTGTATTTTATTTTTATGAAGATGAAATATGAGCTCCATTTACGCCATAGTACCTGATTAGATATGGTAATGCTTCGCTGACATCATATGCCCAACTAAGCCAGCGTCACCAGCCAAAGCAGTAAACATGTAATTTATTGGAGAGTGGGTGACTTGGCAAGAGCTAAGGCTACACTTAAAACTATCAGTCCGACCAACCTTGGCGCTTGTGTCCGTCTCTGGCCTTTTGCCATTGGTTGATGTATCACCTGGAGTTTGGTCTCTATGCAACGGGACAAAAAGACACTAAATGAAACTGGTCCTTGTCCCTGAAAGACACTATTTCTTTAGGCTTAAAACTGTATTGTAATCCTGAGACTTCCTAATTTAGCTCTAAAAATTGCATTGTTGCTGCACACTAACTAAAAAACCACAGCAAAGGTGTGTGCCAGACCTTTGGGCAACAGAAGATACATGGAGAAAATTACCTTATTGTTGTGGAAGACATATTTTTAAGGCTTGGAAACGGGTAGTAATAAAAGTCTCTTTTGTGTGCTGTGGCTGAGGTGACGATGGAGAGCCCTATATAAAAATAGTACAAATGGAAGCACCTCTGCTGTATAACCTGCTATTAGCTGTATGGTATTATCACTTCTGACAGATGGCACATGTCAAGTCGAATGGGGCAAAGGTTTTCTGCCATTGTCTTATGTAGTAACAGCCCTCCTCTGTTCAAGCGAAAACATCTATTTTTGTCAGGAATGTGCTTGTTTTTTGTTTATAGGCTCTATGTTTAGGGAGTTGAGTGGTGATTAAATCATTAGCAGTGGAGGGGATGACAGGAGAAGTGGTTGATTTGTGTTATTTTGGTGGAGATTGCTGGCTGATGAGTGAAGTATGTAAATTGATTTGGGAATACAGGAATCTTGGGCATCTGAGGCTAAAGTACTGAGAACACAGTGGCACGGACGAACTTAATGGCCTCCATTGTGCCAGCTGTGACACAGGACCTGATTCAACAACTTCATGTGCAATAAAAGTGTCACAATTTATCTTCAACAATTGCCATGAATACTGTTCTACTGTGTTCTAGTAGGAGGAATGACAAGCCATTTCCGATACACATTTCCCCTTTGTGTACCCTGATGAGCTGATTTGTATAAATTAATTGACATAGGCTAACAAGTGCCAGTTCTGGTCTGACCCTTTTCAACAGCATAATATTTCTGACTTGCAGTCCGTTTTGCTTTTTTTTCCATTTTAAATGTCCTGTATTACACAAAATTGACTTTTGTGAACTTTTAGTCATGTTATAATGTTGTTACCGCCTCAAAAACATACCTGGAGTTCTGTTTTGTTTCCTTCACACATGTTTGAGTTTGTTCTCCAGAGCTGAAAATGCTCTGTTCCACTTGTTCATGATGTCATGAAGCATAGTTTTCAAGCTACCTTTTATCTTTTGTTCAGTAGACACTGAAAATGATCCAAATGATTCTAATGAAGGTCTGTTGAGTTTAAAAACACAGTGGAGCACTTCTTGTATTACCACTTGTTGACATCACAGGGTGGAACAGGTGGAGTGTTTTTTGTTTGAGAGAAGAACTCAGCCTAAATATGCAAGGTTTGCATATGTTTGTGATGAGGAAACAACATTATGATGTACTAGATCAGTAAATAGTGTAATATGGGCCCCTTTAACATACCGTTAACAAATTTAATTCCAAATAAACAAATAACAAGGTATATAACATATATAGAACAAAGCAGTGTTTATTAAAAAAAAACAAAATAAAACTTGACCAAGTCTAAGCTTTTTGAACCTGTCTTAAACCCAGATAAATTCACTTTATCTGATTATACATAAGTGAAGCACTGCATGTTTTGGGGCAGATTGTTTACTTGCTGACTTCAGAATGAACCTACAAGACAAGAGAATATCAAGATGCATCATTTTGAATATGTTATAATACCTGAAACAAATGGTATCCCTCTGAAGTCATTTATTAGCTCTGCGCAAAGTGTGGTCGTTTTTCAGTGTATGTAGACAAGTTATTAAAAAGCAAATCATGTGAATTCCTCATAAGATGCGTGTGAGTGATTGATATGAGCCAGATGCAGTGCGTGCCTGTTTCCTGGGCCTTGTTATTGGATGCATTACTTTGTGTTTTTGTTTACCAGCGAAGGGCTTGATTGAGTCCTGCCTTATTGTTTCCAGGTTTATGCAAAACCCTGAACCTCTGCATTACTTTTTGTACTTGATGATTCCTGACAGCCGTGACAGACAGTCTACTCTCTTCAGCTCTGAGATGCACATATGTCGTCAATCTAAAATGTCTTCTTTCAGGATGAGGAGTAGCGGTGACATCACTGGTGTTGCCTAGTCTGTCTGATTTTGTAAATGAACTGGTTATTTATAGTGCTGAGGGGAGGGACATGGAGTGATAGGGCAGCAGCAGCAGCAGCAGTAGCAGTGGAGGGACAGTTCTGGGAGAGATGTGTATAATTTTGGCTCTCGTCCATCTGCAAGGTGAAGGGAGACATTTGTCTTGTCTTGGCAGAAAAAGTGTGGTAAACCGCAGACAAATAAGCTCACAGTGATTTCAAAATACTCAAGAGGAATTTTAATTCTCTGGTGTTTCAATCCACCCATGTTAACAAAAGCCCTGACGATGGCATGTTTCGCATCTAAATGTGGCGACTGTGGTTGAGGGTGCAGCTCCCAAATATTTGTAATGATCTAAAATCTGTGACAAGTGAAAGCTGGTCTGTTTGAGATAAGAATGACAGGTGATGAAGATATGGTGATTTTGGGATGTGACTTGAAGGGTGAAGGTCCTGGTGGAGGAGGCAGTCTCCATCTCTGACAGGTCCCTGATGTGTTACTGCTTTGGTACAGAGGGATTCAAAGACGACAGAGGGTGAAGGATGGGGCAAGGTCTGTCACTCATTGTGTGATCTTGTTTTTCCCTGTGGCCTCTTTCATCAACTATGAAATATGATACAGAAATATCCATGTTTATAACCACTGTTGTTGAGTTTCTAATATAAATATATTGGATACAGGGAGGCTGCATTTATCTATCAAAGGCTAATTTACAGGGGACTTTTAACAAACCTGATGTACAGAACAATGCATAAAACAAAACACACACCTTAACATTATGAGTCCATTCTTCAAGTCATGCCCACTTGGAGGTCAGTCAGTGATAACCAAATTGCCTCAATTTACTAAATGTAAGAGTTTAAGCACTGTATGTAGCCTACGGTCTTACTGTTTGCTTACTTGCTACTATCACAACTGAACCTAGGCTGTCAGTCCCTTAACTTGGCCACCATGTCCAATGTTTTTGTATTGAACATAAATCAACAGTAAAATCAATAACTGATTTGAACATGTCTAGCTCATATCTATATAGTAGGTCTCGTTTTAATTTAAATCTTACATGCTGTCCCTTGAAATCCATGTTCACTCTTTCAAGGACCAGTATTACAGCACATATACAGTGTATTCCATCACACATGCTGTGTTGAACACATGTAAAGCAGAGTCACACGTGTAGTTATGGTGTCTGGGTCTGCAGGTGCGGTCAGGTAAATGAGTTGGCTGTTTGTTTAGCGTTGGGCAGCAGACGGGGTAGAGAGGGTGTGATGGTGGTCTGCAGGCATAGTATCTGGACAGCCATGGGTCAAGGCTGGGTTTGTTGGTGTATAGATTTACTGGAGTAGCAGCTGGTGAAATACTAAGAATTTGATACAGGGTAAAATTACTATTGCATGAAGATTCTTGGTGTAGTTAGACAAATTTTGTGTGGTCATGAATCTTCTTACAGACAACAAGTTGCTTATCATTTTTTTCATGGCCATATCGCTGAAATGTGTCTCTTGTTACCACGTGAAATTGCGAAATAATTCTAGAATCCAGTTGATTAGGTATATGAATAGTTACTGGTGAAGTTGTGCAGGGAAGGCTAGTACACTGGAACTGGAACATCTGTCCTTTTTAGAGTGTCGTCTTTGGTGTTGGATAGTGTAAGGAACAATAGTAGTAGTAGCACTAGTAGAGTAATAGTAATACAGATGTGGTCATTTGAGATGCTAAAGGATTTTTACACCATATGTGGCAGCAGATGTGGTAGAAGATCTTCGGAGGAAACACAGTGAGGAACACAAGTGCCTGTTGGTCTCTGTGAAATTAACTGTTTGTTTTTCCCATATCCATGGAGACTACAAAAGGCTAGCTAAGGAGCTATGGACATTTGAGATGTATAATCTTTTTACACCATATTTGGCAACAAATGTGGCAGAAGACCTTCCAGAGGTAAAACCTTGAGGAAATAAATCATTTCATCACCAACTGAAACACCAGAACGGACTGAGTAAGGCCTTTCCTGTTGGCTCCTCCCAGTCGGGTGAGAAGCGCAGTGTAAACAAAACAGTTTGCTGCAGCAAAACTTAAATTTCCCTTGAGATCAATAAAGTAGCGCTTTCTCTATCTTTGAAATGATAATAGCGTTAGTAGAGTGTAACTGGACAATATGGTATTGATATGATAAATTGGGATCACCAGGGCTGGATGCCAGTGTGGTTCGGACCTTACGTGCCTGTCCCGTAAAGGCGTGCGTCTGTTAGCGTTAAGACAAAAGCTGACGCCTTTGGGCTGGTCCCGCCTCTTTCCCACCAGATCAACTTTCTTCAGTGCTGGAATGAGAGACGCACCTCCTCCGGGCCTAGACATATAATCTGGGACTGTCAGGGCCTCTATCAAACAGGATCAACTGGTGCTAGTCCCACAGGCCCCGGGATATACCTGCACTCGCATTCCTCCGACACGTCCCCGTCCCGAGAGGAGGATCATCTGTCTTTTGTGGCAGCTCTGACTCGAGGGTGCAGTCTCTTCCCTGCATTGTCCTGAACTGAAACTTAGTTAAAGGGCTGCAATACACACCTTTGAGTTTGAAGGATTTTTCTTATCCCTTGAGTCTCCAAATGTCAGGATGCTGATCAAGAAACAAATATGTCTCCTAATCATGCCTTTCTTTTGTGGTTTGCTTTCTAATATGAAATTTAGTCAAGTGCAAATCAGCTTGTTTTTTCCGTTGTAAAAGCCATAAACTCAAACATTTTTTTATGTTCCAATAGTTTCCACCAAATACATTTATTCTTTGAGTTTCCATGAAAGTTTTGGCCAAATTACTTGATTCCACACAGCCACAGCATAATAGTCCCTGATTTCTCACAAACTATAGTCACTTTTAATCATTTGGTTTATTTAGATTGCTTTATTTGTGCATTAACCAGGATTACAACATGAAGCTGAAGTAAATATTGTTTTTAAAAAGTACCTAGGTAAATTGAGTAAAAGTATCCAGTTGCTCTCCAACCGTAGTCTGTATAATATGATCTTTATCCTCAGCTCATGTTGCTGGTTGTGAATGGGAGGAGTAGGATTCTAACCCTCACCTGAAGGTTCCTTGTCCTGTTGGTGTCAGCTCCTTGAAACTGAAGTCTGTGTGTGCAGCAGATAAAAGAGGAGATGAATCAAAGCAGTGTGACTGTACACAGGACTATAATCTTATCAATTGCCCTGAAGCCATATGTCTTTGTACTCTCTTTAATTGAATTAGGCCTGTGATGAGATGGGTTGACATACCTTCTAGTGGCAGAGCTGCACACAGAGACAGCTAAGGCAAGAGTCAGAGCAAATTTGGGGTGGTTGTTTTCTTGGGACAATTACATAAAAAGTCCTACAGGTATCCCACAGGCCACCTCTGCCTTCTTATCTCACTCTTGTAAAAGTACATGCCCAAGGACAAATTTAATTGGCCAAAATGAAATCATTTTGTTTTCACTTCAACACTTAAATGATTTAACAAGGACTAAATATGTCAGAAAGTCACCTTATTCAATTTCTGAATGTGAATCAATAAGAAGTTCTCAGTGTGAGAGGCAGAAGCAAGAAAAGGCCTAGTTGTACCAGAAAACATATTGAAGTAGTTGGAGACTGAAGACCTCCCATAGACGTTGACTGTTGTTTGTGTACAGCAAAATTATTTTTTTGGCAGACTATCTAAACAGATGCCAGCATACATGGTGATGCTTTTATACCTTAATAAATCAGGAATAAACCAGAAATAAACCGAACTAAACTGTGACTTTACAAGAACCCCCCCCCCCCGCCCCACTGCTCCTACCCCCGTCCCGACACCCCATCTCCCCTCGTGTAGTGTGGCGTCAGCTGCAATGAGCTCCAGATGTGGCCTGGCACCCCTCCACAGTCACGGCACTGGATGTGGTTTTGAAGGTAGTTTGGACGCGCCACCCACCAGTGAGACCCAATGAAAGTTCTTCTCAACTTAGAACAAGAGAGTTTCTGTAAAAAAAAAGTTCATATTTAAATGCACATCTGGATAGAGCCAAGATGAAGAAAAGTGTATCGGCCTTATATGTGCATATGTAACTTATTTAACATGCTTTGGAGAAGTATGGGAGACAATAGCTCAAAGTGCTTCCATGTGTTCTACCAGATATGGAAATATCAACATCCTTTATTTAGCCCTAGGCCTCCATCTTTTGTTCCTTTGTGTAAAAATACTTTAATAGGTTCATGTGGGCTGCCTTTGATACCTCCGGAGGTGAAAAAGAAAAGAGCTGGTAATTAGGTTTTCTTATAAGGATAATGTTTTGAAGGTTAGAAACAAGTAGAATAACCTTAAGTGATGTAGAGGGGAAACATTTATGGACCACAAGGGGCTTTTACATTCACTCTCTGACAGAAGAAGAAACTCTCACTTCAGACATAATAGTACCATGTTACATGAGAAGCAAGTACACCAGTGTGACTATTGAAGTAGACTTCAGATCACTGCACTGTAGTTCTCCATTTCTATAGGACATTGTGTAGCTTTCCAACATTTCTGATTGAATGAGGTCATTCTGTTCAAGTTTGCCAGGTCGTTTACATAGTCTGTACCGAAACTCAGTCACGTTCTTACCACAATGGCTCCCTCTGCTGTTCACTGCAATCTGATACACAGTAAAGTTTGTTCAGTTTTTATGATTTTTTTTCACCGTCAAGTTTATTTCATAGAACTATGAGTAATGTACAGCACAGTGATTGCTTTACTTAAAATCAGACCTTTTCCCCACTTTCATATTCATAAAATTTACAATGAAACATTTGTAGTCTGTATGCCTTTACTGAAGCATTAGTTGATAATTCATGGAGTGCTGGTCAAATTTATCACCTTCAGTTCCATGTATCTTAATGGTCATGGTGGTTTCAGGAGCTCCTGTAGATCCTCCTGTTTGGCTAAGTGGCACGGTAACAGATGTCTGTTGTTCATTTGAGATATGAGAGATGGGCACTGCTGAAGAAGCAACTCACAGATATCTGTATGTCCTTTTTCTGCAGCCTGTGAAACAGGAAAAAAGTTTGCAAGTTCACTCAGTTCACACATGGGTGCTGTATTTACAAATTTAACCTTTATTTAACCGGGGTAGCCTAGAGAAGTGCATGCAAACTCCATAGAGAACACACCAGGGACGATCAGCTGTATGCCTCACTTGCTAACCACATTGCCACCATAAGTACCCTAATCAAACACACCTTATGCAGGGGAGATGCTCCGTCATCATCACACATCAGTGGGTCTGCTCTGTGCTGCAGCAGGAGTTTGACCACCTCCAGATGACCACAGTAGGCCGCTCTGTGAAGGGGAGTGGCGCCCCCTGGTGTCTGGGGAGCTGCACAGGCACCATTTTCAAGAAGATACTTGCACATAGCCAGCTGTCCACTGCGACTGGCATAGTGCTGGAAAATAATAAAACATAAATAAGACGGGGGAAAAACAATAAAGAACATTAGTCTAAATACTAACCAAAGCTGTGTATCCAGCACTATCTTTCATGTTTGGATGTGAACCTTTCTGGATCAAAAAATTGACCCTTTCCAAGTTCCCTTCCATCGCTGCTGACCAAATACCTGTAATGTACAACAGATAAGTAAGTTATGAATTTGTTGAAAATATAAGTCAGCCAGTCAGTCCTTTATGTATAGGACTATTAATAGTCATGTTTCAAACCTCTCTCAAAATCCATCTCACTCAAACTCTGGTAAACACTGGAGGATGACAGAGGATGTGAGCAGCAGGAACAGTGGTCTCGATTGGACGCCATGGTATCATTAAAAGCTCAGTCCGATTCAATAAACTTTACAAGCTTTGTACTTTGTATGTAGGATGAAGAACTGTAGTAATCATTGTGAGATTCAGAGATTCACCAGCTACTTACTGCAAACAACAAAATGTGTTCAATTAACCTTTACGACAATATATAGTTGTACTACAAAGAGTCATATCGACGAAGTATACACGTTTTGCAAAGGTAAAATCAAGTAAACAACTTCAACGTAATAGCGCAATACGGAAAGCTGCGTGGGACAAACCTTCCCTATGTGATTGTTCATTACGTAGGAGCCTTTGGCCAATCACTGAGCCGCAATTCGCGTGTGACCTCCAAAGACTCTTAAAAAGGTTGGTTTTATGAAACTTTGTTAAGTAGCCACGTGTATTTCTCAACTAACGTAACCAATAGTTGTTTGGATACAATATAGGTTATTATATGAGCACTGATGTAGATTATGGTATAATAAAATATGTTATCCTGTTTTTCATTTTAACCAAACCGGAACGTCTTGTCGTATGTTTTAATTGCTAGTGTATTTCCTGACAGTCCCCAAAGGCGCCTTTTGTCTCGTGTTATTGTCTGATGCAGTTAGCTATAGCTACAGTGAAGTGTGAATCGGTCTGGGCTTCCCAAATAAACATTTTGTGTAAATATAGATAACTATTAAATTAAACCAAAGCGCCAAATAATGAGAAGAGTCACGCTATTCGTAAACGGGACGTCTAAAAATGGAAAGGTGGGTAATAACGCCGTAATTAAGGTACATATAGTGTATTATTGGGCCTTGACTAATTCAAAGAGGTTTTAGGTGTATAGGTAAAACAGTGTTCAGCGTTATCTGACAGATGTATTTTTGTATTATATTTTTGCTCTTGATCATCTGAAAATTTGTCAGTGATCGGCCCATTACGGATTACGTTATAAACCAATGATTGTTGCATACATACTATGGGAGTATGTGCTAAGTTTGGTATTTCAATTATTCATGTCTTTATCTAGGTTGTAGCAGTTTATGGGACCTTGCCAGACCTGCTATCTGTAGCAAGCAATAAGTTAGGAATCAAAGCCTCGTGTCTTTACAATGGAAAAGGGGGTCTCATAGATGACATCGCCCTGATAAGGTAAACTAAAAAGTATGACAATCACAGTAGCCCATTTAAGCTCACGCATTTGTTTTTTGTGCTTCTAATAGGGATGACGACGTACTGTACGTGTCAGATGGAGACAGTTTTGTTGGTGAGTGATAGTGTTCATCATTGTATTATTATTATTATTATTAGTAGTAGTAGTAGTAGTAGTAGTAGTAGTATACACACACACACACATACAGATATACGTTTACTGATGCCATTTATTTTGTTTTTAGATCCACAAAATGAATTGAAGCCCATGCTGGAACTACAGGGCTCTCACACAGACTGGATAACCCTGAATATTGGTGGTCGGCTTTTTACTACAACTAGGTGAATGTTATTAACTAGTTAAAAATGTTCATGAAATTGGGCTATGTGTATGTTTTTGTATGACTAAAATGTGCTTTTTCTATCTTTTCTGTAGGAGCACTTTAGTCAGCAAGGAGCCAGACAGTATGCTTGCTCATATGTTTAGAGAGAAAGGTATGTCATTTTTTGGGGGGGGGTTTTGATGAAAAATGAAAACATGAAACACTTTAGTTGAAAGTCGAAAGTAATTTTTTTTGTATTTAGATGTATGGGGGAATAAACAGGATGAGAATGGAGCTTACTTAATCGACCGCAGCCCTGAATACTTTGAACCCATCCTCAACTACTTGAGGCATGGACAGCTCATTGTCAATGAAGGCATCAGTATCCGAGGTTGGTTTATTTTACATGCTCAAAACCTAAAAACTTGTGTAATCTAAAATGAAATATTGTGAAATCATTTGTTTTTCCAGGTGTACTTGAAGAGGCTCGCTTTTTTGGGATTGAGCAACTTGCTGAACAACTTGAAATGGCAGTTAAGGTTTGTGCTTATCTAGGGTGTGGTTAATACTTTAACTTGTTTTTTTTTTTTTATAATTTACTATCATTTACATCATGATTTTGTATCCTAAGCAGAGCTCACAACCGGCCGATGACCACTCTCCCATTTCTCGAAAGGAGTTTGTACGTTTTCTTTTGACAACACCAACTAAATCTGAGCTCCGTTGTCAGGTACAAGGCATTTTGCCTAATCATTACCTTACAAATTACACTATTATTATCACAGTAATGACAAAGATATCTTCTATTATAGGGTCTTAATTTCAGTGGGGCTGATTTGTCTCGACTTGATTTGCGATACATCAATTTCAAGATGGCCAATCTGAGCCGCTGTAACCTGTCTCATGCTAATTTATGTTGCTCCAATCTTGAAAGAGCGGATCTTTCGGGAGCTAACCTTGATGTAAGGCTTACCATTTTTGCACTGTATCCCACAAATCACACTGATTAAATATAGATTTTGTGCTGATGTTTTTTATGTGTTTTTGTTAAAGGGTGCAAACTTACAAGGAGTGAAGATGCTTTGTTCCAATGCTGAAGGAGCTTCTCTCAAAGGGTGTAATTTTGAGGATCCATCTGGACTGAAAGCCAACCTGGAGGGTAATGCATTATTGTATTTCTTTCAGATTTTAAGACCAGTGTATTCTTCTTTTACCACATTTTATGAATACCCTCCACTGCAGATTGAATATACCTCACTACAGTTAGCATGTTGAAATAGTTTTCTCCAAATATTAACATTATCATTTGGTATTGTGTAGAGAGGGTTATGTTATGATTGAATAGATGGGTTAGTGTATGCAGTGTATTGTACATCATAGAAGTAGGATGTTTATAAGTAAATTGGTTTCTTTTAGGTGCTAATCTGAAAGGTGTGGATATGGAGGGGAGCCAGATGACTGGGATCAACCTGCGTGTGGCCACTTTGAAAAATGCCAAGCTGAAGAACTGTAACCTGCGGGGAGCCACATTAGCTGGGACCGATCTCGAGGTGAGTGATGTTTGGAGCAAGGGATTATTTTGAAAAAGCACATAAGTATTAACCAAGTCATGCTGACCCAAGAGACTGCATGTACTTTTAAGAGATTAGACCATGCAAAAAAAGGCTTTCAGTGGACAAGATTATACTGTTTTATATGAACCATGACATGTTTTAAATTCTTTCATTTTGAAGCGTGCATATTATAAGTACAATTTGTACTTTTCTAAGGCTCATTCTTAAACAGCCAGCATGCTTAGAAATAGGTTATGATACTAATGTTATAGTTAATATACAAAATTTTACATGCAAAACTCAACATGTATTTAAAATGTTTGTACTTTACAATTTCCAGAACTGTGATCTATCGGGGTGCGACTTACAAGAGGCAAACCTCAGAGGCTCCAATGTGAAAGGAGCCATTTTTGAAGAAATGCTGACACCACTGCACATGTCTCAGAGTGTCAGATAACTTCATGGAAGTACCCTTTCATATCTGCTTCCTATATTCTGTTTCCCTTTGTGTGCAAAGAGAACAGACTGATAGGCTTTCCCTGACATTCCACCTGCATCATGTTAGCTTTACATATCTTGCACTAGAGTCAATGCAGGGTTGGCCTTGTGTGTATGTTTTAATGATAGGATGTACAAGCTGCATGCATCACCAAAACAAAATAATCTTCCTTGTGTATTCATATATGGATCCAATCCATTCACAACCTATATTTAGCATTACTGTCATCACATTATTTTATTATGGGAGTCATGGTTTATGTGTGAAGTAGCTTTATTTAATGCTGCTGAAAATGGCAACTTTAAAATAGCCATGTACTTTATGGTGTGCTACTTAATGTTGCTGGATGCACATGTATAAATAGGAACACTAACCAACCCAAAGCCATACACTTCGCACAGTCTAAAAGACTTGTCGTGCTGTGAGTGCATCATTCATCTCTGCGATGGGCTAAACTTAAACTAAACCTGGGTATGCAATACACCTTTTACACTTGTTTTCTCCTCGTTTCTGAAAACTTAAAAGCTTTTTCTTGTTTTTTGTGTGAATCTACCTCTTTTTGGTAAATTGTTGTTAGTGATTCACAATTGCATGCATTTGTGGCGCTTTTATTGTGTTGATAAACTCAATGTAACTTGTTAATTTCCTTTGTGAGAAAAGGAATACCTTGTTTAACAGGAAAATGCTGTTGATGCAATCTGTGTTATGTGATCTTGCCTGAAGACAAAACTGTATATTCATATATCACTCGTACTTGCTTTTGACATGTTTGCACAAGTTTGTGTTCTTGTATCATGTTTCCACCAAATTAATTCATTTGGTGCTTGTAATCCTAATGTAATTCAAATCCAGTGCTTCCAATATCTTCCAAAAAAACTTTATCAGAAAAGACCAATGATGTCAGATTTGTAAAGAAGGAACAATCTTCACTTGTTGCATGTGTAAACCTTACTCAAGCCTGAAGCTGCTCAAATGCAATACTTAATTAGCGTATTAGTAGGTACTGAGGCTGTGAGAATGAACGATGAAGGCAATCATGTGTTTTAACCTTGAGCTGGACGTGTGTCTGAGAGTTATTTATTGTAAATTGTAAAATGAGCAAAGGTTTTGTTGTGTTTGGGGGGCAGCGGCATCCTCCCTCTGTGTGATTATTGCACTTGACTTTGGAAATATGTTTCCATAAAAGACTGTTATAAATAAACTGCTCTGAAGAAGATAACACTGTTGTTATGTGTTTTTGTTGTAAATCTTCTGTCTGGATAAGTATTAGCTTATGTGAGCAGATGTTTAAGTGTGTCCTGGATATCTAAATGGAAGCACTGCGGGTTACCGGTAAAAGGGGCTTAAGTATTTTTGTTACCCCCTACAGTGAAGACTTGGAGGTATAAAAGTGAAAAAGAAGATCAAATTGAAGAAGCATCTCATCTTGACACAAGGTTAACTGACTGTAGAACTTTGTTTACAGTACTCTAGATTTTCTTTCTTAACAGTGGTTTGTCTTTTGCAGAATGGCTTATAAATCATCTGCTCTGCTTTTGTGGGTTTTCGGGTTGATCACTTCTCAGGTTTGGAGCCAGCACTGGTCATTTGGTCTGAGTCCTGGAGGGAAGAGGGAACTGGATGGTCTCTCACAAACTTTGAGTAATGTAAGTGTTCTATTTGAGTTTCTCTGTTTTCAGTGTATGCAGAAATATTACACCTGACAGGTCTCACTTTTAAATTTGCCTGCGCTATGCATATGTTACTGTACTGTCTGGAATGTCCCACAATTTGGTAACAGACAAATGTATCTCTTATTTAAAAATTTCTGTGTTTTCAATACTCAAAAATGCTTGTCTCCATGGAGGTGGATAGGTTAATAGGTTGCTAATCTCAGGATATTTTCTTTCGCAGATAGTAGAACGATTTCAACATGTGGACACACCCTGCAGTGTGGTGGGGTGCAGAGAGGAAATGCCCAAAATATACCGACTCAAAAGATTTCTTGTAAGTGGTTTAACTTTTTTGATTATACCATTTATACGCTATGAGTGTATGATGAATCACGGTATATACACTATATATCCTTCCCAGGGCAACGTAGCAGACAGTGGACATCAAGCATTTGAAAAGTGATTCATTTTGTCATTGTTATATCAATGTAGTCAATAAAATATAAATGTAAGCAAATGCATGTTAATACAATCTTATTTTCTTGGTTTGGTAAATTTAATCAGACATGATTTATAAAATAATTAAAGTACAGTTTAGAATTTTACTTACTGTTAGTTGTTAACATTGACATTGGGGTTTTGATAAATCAACAAAATTAACCAAATGTATAGCTTTGGGGGTGTGAAATGCAGCCATATTCTAAGATAGAGGCCTATTTGGAAGAATTGTCAAATTATTTAAGTCATACAATGCAACAACTAAAATCTAGCAAAGTTAAGATTACTGGATTTAAGAACGTTTTGTCATGATTTGAATAAATTTTAGTTGACAAGTAAAATTATTTACCAGTGGAACAAGACTTTTTGTGGTTAAAATATGAAAATACATCTTGCTACATTATGAGATAAGAAAAACAATAACTCTTTGTACTTAAAATAAGAAACTAAATCTAATGTTGCTTGAATTAAGAAAAACACTTATTCCATTAGTAGACAGTTTTGCTTGTCAAGTTGAATCTACTCAAATAAAGTAAAATATTCTTAATTTAGATATTGCTTTTTGCATTGTATAATACAAAGATTCTATTATACATGTATAGTTTAACTGTAATAGCCTAAAACTTCTACCTTTTCATGCCAGCTGTCCTATAGTAACCTTAAGAACAGCCCAATGTACAGCATAGTCCTGTTACTGTTAAAACGCCAATAAAGCAATAAAGTTGTTAATAACATTGAAACAATTAAAAAATCACCAAATGACTCACTTTTTATGACTACTTCCACCTAGATTACAGACCATTTTTAGTAAATTGAATATCACTGGGCTGCCCCTCTGACATTTGCAAGATAATAATAGACTATAGTGTTGTGACTCCCATCTGTCATTATAACATGGAGGAAAGTCCCCTGGTCTGTCTTCATTATGCGTGCGCCTCTTCCTCTCTTCTGATCTAACTATGTTCTCCTCTCACCTGTATCTGTCCTCTACATCTATTCGAACATCCTCTCTCCTTCTCCCTGACATTAATGTGCCCTCTCTCCTCTCCTGTGGGCACAAATATAGTGTCCTCTGGTGAAAATATATCACTTCTGTCTTCAGCGCGTCTCCTCCACATCCTCTCTCACTCCCGTTTCTCCCCATTAGTCTTGTTTTCATTTCACTTGCACCTTTAAGCTCATCACTCACTGTCCACGCATGACAAATAAGGAAATGTTTGAATGAAGCTGAAATAGCTCTAAATAACTTGAAAAACCTGAATTGTGTTGAGGAAATTAAAAAAAAAAAAATTTATGAGATCTGAGCAAAGCTTTATCCTGATTGAAAGGTCTTATTTCTGTTGAGGAAGTAAACACTGTTATTAACATTAGTATTTTGTTTTTGTTTTGATATGACAGAGAATCGATTATGAAGTAGCCTACTAAAACCTTTATTAATCACAAGGCCTACATTAATATTGTTTACCTTGCCACTGGGGTCACTTAATTATGAATTATTAACATTCTCATTTACACATAAATGAACTAAATCCATTGTAAGCTTCGTTGGTGCCGTTCTCGTCAGTAGAGGGCGCTGCAAAACAGCTATGAATCTCATGAGCTCAGAACTTCTCAAGTACTGTTGTTCCCTTCTCCTGGTTTGGGCTTTACGTACTGGGCCATGTTGTGTCATTTACAGCCTAATGTTTGTTCTCGTTTAGGACATGCGTTAGCTCAATTTATTACTGTGTGTCCAGCACCTCAGAGCAATCTCCATATGGATTATAAAAGTGTTTATTAATGGGTGACCAAGCAGCGTACTGTTGATTTGACCAGGAGGTGCGTGTTTGCCAATACACTGTATGGACTGAATAACAAATCGAAGTGCATTCATCATCACGCTTTGACAGCGATACAACGGCCTGTAATATCCTGAGGAGGAACGCACGAAGAGACAGTTTAATCTCCAATGGAAAATGTCTCTTTTAGTTCAAACTGTCTTGCCCGGGGTCTGCAAACACAGGCTCCAGTCTCCTTCCGCAGGCTACACATTTATTATGAGAATCACTTAATAAAAACCGTGTTACATGGACACGGTACTCTATTGTTTTAGACAGATAACTTCGATAAGAGGTGTAAAAGCACATGGAATGTATGCTATAGAGCAATACAGGTCAAAGTAATAAGTTATAGGCTATTAGGCTATAGCCTATTTTTTGTTTTGTTTCAGCTAAGCCTAGATTAGGCTACTATTTACAAGTGCTCTACACCTTGTCTGGTGGGAGGTCTACTATCTGTTTTTTTTTTTCACTGAGATGTTTCACTTATGTTTGTTTATTTTATAACACATTTATATTGCTAAAAAAATATTAGAAAATATTATTTTTTCTGGGAGTGAGCCTACCTCTCCAAAGATCTGAAATGTAACTTGACCTGGTGGAGTCAGTTTCTTGTCTCCATGGAGATGCAGTATATAGTTTATACGCCTAATGGCATACTGGAGCATTCTAGGCAAAGTAATAACATCTGCATGGAGTCGAGCAGGTGGCAGACCCTCCAGTGCACTTTATGTATCCTGAACATGTGTTTGTCCTTTGAACTCCGGTGTCACGCTGAGGAGGGGGCAGGGGTGAGCTCAGGACATGTCAGAGGAACTTCAGCTGGAACTCTTTTAACCCTGTGGGAGCTACACGAAATGTCTGGGGAGAGGGAAGCCTGGGCCATCACTGCTGTGTACTGCCTCATGAAGCAAGAGAACATGAATTGTTCATTATAAGATAAGACAGAGTGTGAGATATTCATGTGCCCATACAGCAGAATAGCAGAATGTGCAGCTTACCACTCTGTTTCAGCTAGTGGTTGGGTTTGTCAGTCCTTATCATGTATAGTATAGAATAGTTCTTTAAACTTCATGCTTTTACCCAGAGAGACATTTTCTGTTATTAAGATCAAGATGTTTCTATCTTCAGATGTACTGTCTGAGGACCAGGATTTATGCAGCCCTTAGGGAGAGGAGAACTGCTTGGAGGAGGTTAACCCAAAAAGCTGTTTGATTACAGTTTCACATTGTTCTGGACAACGCATACTTTACTGTAATTTCAGAAATCAGAATGACTTCCAGATGGGAGTCAAAACATCTTAGGCTTAAAGATGACTATGAGACCTTTGGACCACTCCTTGATAAATGAGGGATTATGTGAAGACTAAATGAGAAAGTGGCTCTACTAAAACATCTAGTGTGATAAAGTATTTTATAATCCAGATTTTGAAGTTATTTAACCATCATACTCCAAGTATGTTCTTGCCTGTCTGTGTGAAAGTGTGTAATGAGGAGAAAACCTGTCCCCCTCTTGACCCTGTACTCTCTCTGCTGTGAGGCCCTACACATTGTGGCTAATTACCCACAAGAGAATGCTCAGAAAGCCAATGAGCCGATGTAAGTGGACACTGCATTACCTAGCCGCTCCCAGACACTCACTAATATTATTAATGATGGATTTGCTTGTAGTGTCCTGTTCTGTTCTGTACCAAAGAGTCAACCATGAAATTTCACATTTTTTATCATAAATATACCTCATTACACTAATTACCATTGCAAGTGTGTTAAAAAGGTAATCCATTCATGCATGATATATACTGTATGTTGCACATTTCTCAAAGCATGGACCTTTTTAGTGTCTGCCTTTAGCATGTTTTGTCTGAAGACTTCAATTTGGCAATCAGTTTGGGGAGTTTTATCTAGACAGCGGACTGGGGCTGCAATAACAAAAGGAGACGATTTCAAAAACATACATTGTGGATCCAAGAAAATGTCATGTCATTTTATTGTTAATGTGATGTATTGGCTTCATAACATTAAAAGACAGGAAAACAGTTTTGAGGTGCTAGCTATATCACACTGCAGGCCCTGTATGTCTATTAGGTCTTTTAAATCTTACTGGTAAAAACATCTGGCTTGAGGAAAAATATTTGTCAGAAATGGAACTTTTAAAATAAAATAATTAAGTTTTCGTAAGTAATTCTCAACAGGAGAGCCAGGACTCCAAAAAAATTAAGATGAAGATTGCTACAGTTTTCTATAATTGGAATAAGATTTGTTACCAGTATTTCTTAAGTTTTTACATAGGTAGAAAGTCCACCATCTGCTTGTCGCCATGGTGTTATTGCTTTGTTTAGAATGTTCCACAGTACACATTAAACCTACCATCACACGGGAGACAAGCAGGTTACAGCCTTAACGAATGAATGCTAGATGGATATGTTTAATCTCATATCATGGAACATTCCAGGGAAAGCCATAACATCTCCTTGGAGACAAGTAGGCATAGAACCTCCACTAGAAAAGTTGCGCAGTGCACGTCTAATGAGCAGGGAAATTCTGAATCAAATGAACCCCATATCACCACACTTGTCTTTTGGTAAAAAAAAAAAAAAAAAAAGGTAAGAAAAAAATTCACCTCACGTAATGATCATCTGGCTAAAAGTGGTCATTAAGGCTGCAGCAGCTAATTAGATTAATCATGATTAATCGATTATTGCTGTAATGAACAAGTAATTTAATAATGCCAATTGTCATGTAGACTATACACAGACTCTGAAACATGCCGCCAACAGTACAGGAAGAATGGTAGCCTAAAACAAGTATTTTTGATGAGACCACATTGTAAATTGGTTTAGCTAGGCTCTACGCTCATACTGATTTTTAGTGTACCATTTTGTGTGTTGAGAGATGCACTTGGTCTATTAGGCTGAATGCTGTCTCAGTCCATTTCATTTCCTATTTACTTAAATGTCTTCTAAATATATTTCTTTTTCATGCTCATATACTCGTATGCACCTTCTAGTTGCAGTAAAATACATAGCAGTTTCATATTTTGAAAACTATCAAGAGGTGTCAATAGAATAGATAATGTGGTGTTTCAAAGACATATCAGTGCTCTTCGTCTGTGCTCTCTGAAGTGGACCCAGGCTGTTCACCATGTATTGTGTTTTTAGCCTGAAGGACCCCAGTAGAAACCCCGAGGTATAGCTGTAACCAGGCAACTAAAGCAGCCTGTGTTTTCTAATCAAAGAAAATAGAGGGTCAGACTCAGAGGCTACAACCTAAATTATCCAAGCAATCTACAGCTTTTCTACCACATATGTGCTTCAGTCTGTTCAGGAAAGCTGACTAGACTTGCCTTACTTTCAGTATTCACCTCACTGCTGTGGTGTGACATCCAAAAACAAGTGGGGTGGGAAGTATTCTCAGATGTTGCTGATGGTAAAATTAAATACAGCTTTAATTTTTGTATATTTTGCCATTTTAATACATGATGCAATGCTTATATTATATTTTGAATAGATTACAAAGTCTCAAAACATTTTAAAGATGCACTAGGTAACTTCTCTGAAAGAGCGTATACCACTTGCTTGGCCCCTGGTTTGAATTGTATCTTGGCCTGATGGTGTCACCTGCTTGTCTCCTTGGGGATATATGTTTAATGCCATACTTTGGAATTTCCCAAGCAAAGCAACGACAACTTTATCTTAAAGAGACGCAGGTCTTGTACTCTCCACCAGAATTTACATAGTGCACCTTTAAGTTATAAAGCCTTTCAAACAGGCAACGTTGAAGTAAAGGGTCCAGTAAAAGGGCACAATGCAGGCAACAGAGATGAAACTACCAACCTTTATGGGTGAAAATTCTCAGCATATTGTGCTACAGAAAGACAAAGGTTGCACCCAAACTCTAGAACAGCCTTCACACACACATCAGGGCTGCACTAAAACTCCTAAAGACACCTGTTTGCACTGCTGTTCCACACAGATTAAGCAGCACTTTCTAATTATATTTGCATAATTAAGTTTTGAGACAAAGTTTATCTTTACACCATATTTTTTATTCTGTATTTTTATTCTGTATGTAATGGTTTATATTTTTATACAGTATATTCAGAACCATTTGAGGTTGTTTTTAAATGTGCTATACAGAATCTAAGAGCTTGTGTCACAGGGAAATAAGGCAGTGATGGAGAGGGCAGTCCGTGGATTTGACCTGAGAGGTGCATCAGGACATGTTATGATAGACCACAGCACTGATCTGGACTTCTGCAGCAGAAACACGTCTCTCTGTGACCTTTTCTGTCTTCTCAAACATAAAGATTAGTGTCTCTCAAGGTTCAAAGGTCAACTGGCTACTGTTTCAGTCAGAAGCAGGCATGGTTTACTGTGCATGCATGAGGCAGTGAACATACTGAAATATTTGAGCATATACCAAAGCACTATAGCTTCCAAAGATATTAATAGATTTCAGTTCTAGAGTTATTTCTATATAAATTCTCACTGCAACACATGCTTAAAACATTTGGTTCTGTCACTCTCAAATTATTCTTGGCTCACAGAAATTTAAGGGGAAACTTGGGGAAAATTGTCTTTGAAATGAAATGTTAATGAGAGAAGCGGACAGAGGATGCTAAATTATATTCTGCGCTTTGAGCTTCCAGGCAAAAAAATGTGTCTGAGAATTTAATTTCAAAACAACAGCTTGGGGAAATTTCTGGCCAACTATTTCTTCGTTCATGTTGTTCCTGCGATTGGAGGAGAGAGATAGGATATGAAAATCTGTCTAAATTAAAATTCACAAAGCCGATGAGAGATGCTAATCTTTCTGGACTGACTCCAGGGACACCAGGAGGGAGACTGGACTTGGTAAGTGTCTCTACTTCGCAATACTGTAGCAGCTTCTCAATACTGTGTCAAGTGCTGTACCTCCGGCTTCTCTCCTTCTCCGTAGTGAGCATAGCTTCCTGATTTAGAGTGGGTTTAAAGGGACTTAGAGAAGAAAAGGTTAGTGCCGCTTACGAGAGCTCATTTTAGGCCTGAGCAAAGGGAGCAACAAGTCAATTAGTGTGACAAGAGATGCCCTGAGAGCTCCCCTGGGGCTGCCTCTGCCCTTGGAGAGTCCAAAATACTGTTAACAGTTTGGTTTAAGCTTTTATTTCAATCTTGTTTTTAATTATAAATGTGACATATGCAATTTTTGTAAACATAAGTCTGAATCAGGAGCTTCTGTAGTATGATGCAACATACAACAATGAAAATAATAGTAAAATATAAACTATGATAAAACAATGGCATGTATTAAAAGGGCATTGTGTAACTTTTCTAGTGGAGGGTCCATCAAATGCTTTTCTTCATAGAGATGCTGATGCTTTGCTTTGTCTGGAATGTTTGACAGTATGGCATTAAACCGTTGGATCTTCACAGAAACCAAACCAGATCCAAGTTACAGGTCAAATCTGTGGACAGGCGACCCTACTCACAGTCAGAATGCCTGTTTTTCTAGGTTTTTTGAACAGGAAATCCACCTATAATGACATATCAATGGAAACAAGCAGATAACGGACCCCTAACCAAAAGGTTACATAGTGCGCCTTTAAATATAAGTTGTTAAATAAAAATAAATATATAAAAAAAATGTGTATGTATATATATATATATATATATATATATATATATATATATATATATATATACATATATATATATACAGTATGTACAGAACAACAGTGCAAAACAAGCAAGGCAAGTAGATTAATTATTGTACTATAGATAAAACTACTCAAATATTGGCTGAGTAAAATTATACCAGCCATCAATTACTATTACTAGTATTTTTGCAATTATTTTTCCTTGCATAAAACATGATTAAGAGTACATAGTTTTAGTGTACTTTCCATCATATATTGCAATCATACTCCTGCACATTTTGTTTGACAGGAAGTTCTCCCCTTAATATTTACTATGGCACGTCCCTCTGTTTACAGCCCCAAACAAAAGCACTGATTTATTAAACATGTCTAAAACGAGCGCTGATCTTCTACGCCCTGAATAATGCACAGTAACAGATGCACTGCACTAGGCCTGACCTCTGCAATAATGGCAGGGTTAAAACAGGGCTTTAATCTCCACATGTCCACAAATGTGTTGATTGGCTCATGTTTGGACGTGCTTTAACCTGTGGAGGAAATGGATGTGACACTTGTCTTAATGATGAAGACTGTGGTGTCAGAGTGGCATTTTATCACAAATAAGCCTCTTAGTTTAGCCTCTGTCAGTGATGAAGATGGAACGCTACAAGCTGACCTAAAGCCACTAAATCAATATGGGCTCCGATGGAAAGAGGAGCATTCATTTGACACCACTGCGATCATTATGTCATACAAACCACCACAAACACATCCATATGTAGTGGAAGTTGTGAAAAAGTAATCAATAGTCCAATTCGAAGTCAAAACAAAACATTTGATGCATTTACTGTTGTCAATGCACTGATTAAGTTTGAATTGTACTGATTCTACTTCTGTTACTTTGGGTGTCTTGACAATTTTTTAAGACTGGTACCCTTGTTGGTGTAATTCCTAATTCGTCCACTAGTGGTCCATGGTAGAGGTTTCAAAATTACTTAAAAAAACATTGTCCAGATTACTTGAAACCATTTCTACCCAGATGCCCTATCTGACAAACTATTCAGGAAATGTTCAGTTTTGCTCTATTTATTTATGATTTATTTTTCAGAGTTAGTATGCCTATTTGATTGATTAGTATCTGGGTATTAATTTATCTAGTTTCTGACAACCCAACTTGGGACATGATATAAACCAGGGAATCTCAAACCATAATATATCAAACATTACATTCTAATTTATTACATTACAACTGTCAACAAAGTAGATTCAAGACTTATTTCACAAATGTATCATAAAAATGTAATCACACAAATAAAAGTGACAACAGTAATTCTAATTCCTCATATCTTCTATGCTACACATTGCTTTTTATTGCCACAGATTTACAACTGTGTCGTACACTTCTCCTAAATCAAATGTAATGTACGGAAGTCCATAAGGTTATATACAGTGAAAGAGGTCCTCTACTGAAACTACTTTTATGGCACTTTTAAATTTATGGTGGTCACATCTTTATGAGAAAATCTACAGGCACATGGCACACTACTATATATAATGGTTGAAAATAGACTGCATGAAAACACTGCATTGGCTTGACGAGGTTCATTATGAAAACATTATTGTTCGTGGGAGTTTTTGATAATAAGAACAGCGTATAATGAAGCAAATAAATCGCCTGGATGAACGCCTGGGGCCCCATTTGCGGCTCTAATGTACTTGCCTACAGTTGTGCAACAAAACTGTCAATAATCATTAACATGTCATGGTTCACTATCAATTTACATTTTCATCAATATAGACACTTTGGAGAATTTAAGCAAGACACAGCTGCTCCATAAGACTCCTACATCGTCAGTAGTGTTAATATAGATACATTACAAGCGGTTTTCTTTAAGAGAGAGTACTCTTCAGCAGAATACTTCTTAGCTGACCCCAGTGCACCGCTTTGACCATCATTTTGTCATGTTCTGCTTCATCTGAAATAGAAGCCAGCAGTTAAGTGTCTCTAGCCTGCTCCCATCGGACGGCAAACTGTGAGCTTTAAAACTTTGTAAATGTCACACTCCTGCTTTTGCACACAGTCAAGCAAGAAAAGCTTTAAAAGAAGAATAGTGCCCGTGAAAAGCAAAACAGGCTCCAAAAACAAACTTCTTTTGACTTTAACTGAAAATGTTTTTAGGTGTTGGCACTGATGGATCCATTGCTCAACATTGACCCCTTGGTGACCTCCGTGCTGACCGTCGAAAGTGGCACAGTCTCGTATCTCTCAGTGACCGCCCAGCAGCGACATCTCAGTATGGTGGACTTGAGCTGCTTTTGGAAGTTGCTGTTGAGGAAACCGTATATTATGGGATTGACGCAGGTCGATGCCATGGCTGCGAGATGGCAGAAGGAGAAGATGACATCATGACTGCAGGTGGGCAGAGCCTCGTGGTTCCAGTCAAAAACAGTGTTGAAGATATTGAGAGGCAACCAGGAGAGAGCGAACGCCACCACGATAGCCGTTAGCATGATGTTAATCCTTGTAGCGCCTTTGTTTTTCTTCTGCGTATTGTTCCCACTCCGCTCCACTATCTCCTTCCTTCTCCTGAGGCGTAAGTAGATGTGCAAATAGCAGATCATTATGAGAAGGATCGGCAGGAGATACTGGAAGACAATCAAGGAGGTGGTGTAGGCTCGCCTCATTGCTAACGATGGCCACTTTTCCATGCAGACAAGCTGGTCAGACAGTGGAAGGGGGATGCTTAGGTTCTGAAAGGGTAACTCCAAAACGTTGAAGGTCAAAAAAGGCACGGAAATCAAACATGCCACCACCCAAGTGCCCCCCACAGCAAAGTAAGACTGGGCAACTGTGGGCTTCCAACCAGTGGGGTGGACTATTAGCTGGTAGCGCTCCAGTGCAATCAGAACAAGGGAGAAGATGGAGACAGAGACTGAAATACACTGAACAAATGGTGTGAGCTTACACATAGCGCTACCTAAAATCCAATGGTCCATCAGCGTGTATATTATGGTAACAGGAAGGCAAACAATACACATGAGAATATCGGAGCAGGAGAGATTGGCAATTAGTATGTTAGTGACATTACGCATCTCCTTGTGCCTCGTGATGACAAAAACAAGGCAGGAGTTTCCGATGAGTCCCACAGCCAGGACCACGCTGTAGGCAATGATGAGGAAGGTGGTGCCGCTGACAGACATTGAGCAGTCTTCAGTGGCGAGGGCCAGGTCTCTCCACAAAGCATGGTTATAGAATGAGTTGTACTGGAGATCCATGTTTGCACTTCAACAGGCAGACCTTAATTAAGCCGATTTGTCGTGTCACACTTCTTGTAATTGCCTCATGAATTTGTTTTTGGAGGGCCGTTGAAGCTTGTCCTTAATCTTCAGTTGTCATTACTTCAGTGCCTGGACAAAAACAAAAATGATTAAAACAGTCTCTTTACTGTATGAGAATATACGTTTCACAAACAAGTTAAATTCAAGTCAAAGTGAACTCCTAATTAGAGGTGCACTACGTAACATGATATTTTTGCTTTGTCTTGAATGTTCTACAGTACAGTATTTAATCTCTGTCTAGAATATATTCAATTAGAGGTGTTTTAATGCCTTGAAAACATGCATTCTATCTGAAACCGGGGTTATTTTCCCACAGATCTGACCTATAAATGAGCCATCTGCTTGTATCCATAGATATAGATATGTTAAATGATATGATGTAGAACATTCCTGGCAAAGTCATAACATCTCCATGAAGACAAACAGGTGGCGGGCACTCCACCAGAAGAGTTATAGTACAACTTTAACTGAATTGATTAAAACGTGTCATCTAAACTGTAGTGAACCTGTCATTAGCAGATAACATGGTTACAGAGCTTGAAATGTGGGTGGTTATTATTTGGAGAAACTAATTTCATGATTAGCCATGAAAGCAACACATGACTCAGAAATAGATTATCTTTCTTTATTTTCTGGGGACAAGTTTTTACATTCCCCTCCTCTGTTCCAAATTAATCTCAGGATCTGTGGAGCAGAGCTGGTCTCATTGGTCCAATTTCACTTTTGTTAGCAGCACTCACTTTGACACAAAGGGAGGTTTTAACACAATAATTACAGCCGTACACATAAATCAGTTTGGGGGGTGCTTCTTGTCCTAAATGTCCATGTACTATCTGCTCTGTTGCACCTCAAGACGGCAGCATACACCTCCACTTCTCTGCATTCGCTGTAATGGCAAGCTGATCTACGTTTCCATCACAATAACTGTCATAATGTCTGCTCCTTTACACAACCGTCTCCCACAAATGTTTGCTCCCCTTTTGACAGCAGCAATTTATTCTGGTTGGATCATCAAGGAAGACTCTCTCTCTTACATTCTCAACAACACTTACCTATGCTGTGAAAGAATAACATGTAAGTATAAACATACACTAAAGCTGTGTATCTCATGCTCTAGTGGACGCAGTGAGAATAATCAGCAACACTGATTAATCACATGTTTTAGCTCGTGTTTTGTCTCCCACATCATGTATGCTGTTTTTGCAAATGGAATAAGCTGCATTTGTGAATTGTTTTTCATTTTCATTTAGAACCGAGCACAATAGCCAACACTAAGATAACAATGAATGCCTTATTTTCTGCCTCTTTTCTTCTTTACACTGCCTTATTAACATGATGCACAGCTATAGGCATGCTAATAAGGAGACACGTAGTGACAAAAAACACACGTCAAAATAGATCCATTTTCATTTCAATAATATATCATGATACGTGATAAGGATAAGTGATACCCTACAAACAAAACAGCATTACTAAAGGAAAATGTTCGGGGAGAATTTTAAGCGTACCCATGCTGAATAAAAAAGTTATTTTGCCTACCTGGTAAACGTCCGTAGTTTTCTTCCTCTAATATCTGTGTCGAGCTATTCCACGCTGGGACAGGTGCACATAACTTGGGGTAAATCCCATAGGCTGCAGCGTCTGTCCAGAAGTAAAAGCATAATTTATTTCTCTGTTAAAACCCTCAAAACGCCGCTTAATGGACCTCTATAAAAACAGCCTGACGGGCAGCCAAATGAACAATGTGTCAGTAGCCCAAAACAAGGCGCACAGACGAGCGAGACATTTGCTTGATGGATAAGGTTGTTAAAAGATTGTAAAAGAGTAAAGACACACAAGATAGTGCGGACTTTCACTTTTAGCACAAGCTCCGTTTCTTACCGGAGTGTGGCGTGAGGTCTCCTCTCTCCCACTTTCTTCGCACGGATCTCCGCATCAGGTGAGGAGAGAAGGTAGAAAGAGGCGTCTGATGAGCGCGCATGCAGGAACACAGCAAGGAGTGGAGATAGCTCTTAAAGCGACCTTATGTATCACACACTCTGGTGGGGATGGGACTGTAGAACATGTTACATAATGAAATTTCTCGCTGTGACGTGGACGCGCACTGAACACGCGCCAACACATTCACTCAAATGTACACACGCACGCGTACTGATAAATGCGACCACTGACGGAGGAACTATTTCAGTTTTAGCACCGCACCTGAAGAAGAAAAGACAATGCATCAGACAAGTGCATTTATACGTGCTCTGAATGGCGCGCGACTTGAGGGGTCTATTTTACCAAATGTGGCATAGTGATCTTATATTCGAAATGATCTTATATTGTGTACAGGCTACAGTAGACCTAGGTAGGTCTATGTGTAGGTAGGCCTGTATGCAATAAGATTCAGTTGCTCTGTAAGCTTCAATGAAATGGTCTCAAAAGTCCTTTTGACGGCAATCGTGCCTTTGTGATTGGATAGACTATAATGGACCACCACTTTTTGCCTTGATAACAAGCTAAAAATGAATAGTCTATATTTTATCTTAGTATACTGTTGCAACACATTTTTACTCCGAGAACGTCAAAAAGTGACGCTTTTCTAGTGCCCTTGGTTGACAAATGCATGGAACTTTGCCAGCGCCGACACCTGTCACCAAATCACTGGGGTCTTATTTTTTCTGGAGGTGGCAAATCACAAGAAAGTTAAAACCATACTTCAGAAAATTCTGGAAGGAAATACGTTTTCTGCCATACTGTGGAAGATTAGGCTACGTTAAAACCAAATAGACATGCAAATGCACTTCAGCTTTAAAATCCTTTGCTGCCCTTTTCTTCAATAATTTTTTTAGAATGTTATGAAGTCAAGTCTTCAAGTCCCCCATTTTATTTATATTCCTATGCAATGAAATTGCGTTTATGCGTGTGTATGAAATGAATAACTATAGAAGAAAGTGAAACTTTGGACGATGCTCGATCTGCCACCTTTATATCAAAAAGCAGTTCTGGTTGTGTTTGTACTGTCTGATTTGTATAGATTTCCATCTTTTGAAATGTAAGTATTAGGCTACATTAAGCAATACTTGTGTCTGTTTGGTTATCCTAAGAAACCTATTCATCTCATTCATCTTATAACCTAATATTAGGTCTTACAAATAGGCTATACATAAAAAAATGAGATGGCTCTTCTTTGGCTCATCAAGCATTTTTGATTTCACCTATATCTGTTTTCAAATAACTTATTGGTAAAAGATAGCCAAACTGATGCAAGTATTGCTTAATGTAGCCTATTTGAAACTTATTGGAATGTGCAATTACCATTTCAGTATATGGCTATCCTTCAGATCATCAGACAATATTGATTTGACCTACATCTGAGTCAAATCATGTTAAGAGATACAATACAAATCAGACAGGACACAAACGGAACTGTTTTTTATATAAAGAGGGGAGACCCAGCTGGTTCAAAGTTTCACTTTCATTTTATATGTAATGGCTGTGAATTGTCAAGAAAAATTACATCTGTCTTATCAATAGAGTGTCGGCTGTATGCTATTTTCTGCACACTCCCTTCCTTAGGTTGCATGATACATTTTATGAACATTTTAAACTCAATAGTTTCTTGAATATATACTACAATTATTTGTGTGACAAATTACAGACATAAATATCAAACATTCTAATAAACATTTACATACGATACATACAAAATGCAAGGGATACAACTTCATCAAAAACATATTATAGAGCCCAAATGAACATAAAATATTTAAATGTAAAAAGGATAAATACTGAAGTTAATCATTTTTTTCACTACCACTTTACCTACCACATTCACCCTATGATTGGTTTTAAGGGCATGCATCTGGAGTAAATGTAAAAAAAAAATGAAAAGAAATGCTAAATTGGTATCCAAGAAGACTGCATTCAGAAGGATTGGATATGATCCTAATTCCAATAAAGAAATTACTATATTATTATTATTACGCATATATTGACAATAAAAAACTTGCCAACAACAAGATTTGAGAGTCAAATCACGTTGCATGTGCACAAAACAACACAGTATCATTATTGCATCCTGAAATCTCACATAAGACTCTATAGTCGCCTCATTAAAATGCCTTCCTCTTCCAATCTCACACTAGGGACTATTTTAGACCCATTTTTCTTTGCACCTCTTCTGCTTGTGCAACAGATTGTTAACTGCCTCTTCACACTGTCCCCACACACTACTGCTCAGAGCTGCACTGTGCAGTTCATTATACTCCAAGGCAGCACCAGGCCTCCAAAGACCAGTCATTTCTGATCTACCGGCAGTGCAGTTGTTGAAAAGGCTATATGTAATTATGTCATCATCAACCCTTCAATAGGTCTGACATGGAATGACTTGTACTTACACTGTCACTCTCCTGATCCTTCTTCCAGGTGTTTTGACACACACTCATCCAAAGGCAACAATTGTGACGAACAAATGACAAGCTGTCAGGGGCAGTGAGGACACAGTAGGAAGTGGAGGTGGGCTGAATCTATATCAGGTGATAAGTGAATTGATTTTCTGATTGCCTAAAGAACACACTTTTACATGTGTTGTGATGTAGAACTTTTACCTTTGTTTTAATGATTCAAATAGAGCTATATAATAAAGGGCTAAAAAGCTGCTGGCCAGAAATGAACATGTACTTGAAACAAAGACTGACGGAGAAATGATGAGGATTGCTGTATGCAAAAAGATGGTGGAAGGGTAAATGGGAAAAATTAAATAGTGACAGAAAAATGGGACAATTTGGACAATTTGTCTAGCATATTTACGACTGTCAATGTGTCTGTGTGAAATTTTGTTTCCTGTATGTTATATTATTGAGGTTATGTTTTGTTTGGTACAACTAGAATAGGTATTTGATTTATAAAAAAAAAAAAAAACTTAATACCTTTTTATCACCTTCCCGTCACAA